GGACCGTCCTGTAAAAGGGGTTTTTGAGAGGTCAGCTAATGCTATATGTTAGCATTGGCTAATTCTTATTCCGGGTCCACCCCCATCGGCCCAGGGTGGTATTGCAAGCATATCAGCGCACGTCATTTTGGTCACTTTTGAGCCGGGACCCACCCCCACTGGTGCAAACCCATCTTTGTGGTTTTAAACAACATCATTTCAGAAACTCATTTTGGAGCAGTATTTTTGTTGTAAAACGCTTCGAAGATGACATCACAGTGTATTTACGTAGATAATGTTAGTATTTAATTAACACGTTTACAGCAACAGCAGCTGCTCCAAGCGCTTCACTGAAGCTAAAAAAAAAGAGCAAAATAAACCGGCAAGAAATACAACGCTCATTATTGCACACCAGGTCTGAGACAGGAGCTGTTAATGTCTCCTTTAAGTCACATGTTTTTCACCACCTGAGCAGATAGAGACAGCCAGAAATATTCCCTTTCACCATCGGAAGATTTTTATGTTTTTTCAGTCATTTTAAGTGTAATCGGCAGCTGTATAATTCAGGTTTAAATTCAAATTCAAACTACTTCATTTATCCCATCAGGGGAAATTCATTTGAGCAGCATAGGGCATAAAAAAACGTGAAAATAAGAAAAAATAGAAAATTCAGGCAATTTGAATCTCACTTTGGTGAAAAATAGGAAAACAGAGCATTGACTTTGCTTGATTCATTTCAAGCATTCATTTCTACCCGGTCCTACGATTATTTTTCATAAACATTCTTGAACTACAAAAGCAGATAAAAACAGTTTACCCACAGAAAGGGTTAATAAGATGTGTGTGTGTGTGTGTGTTTGTGTGTGTGTCTCTGTGTGTGTGTGTGTGTGCGTGTGTGTGTCTCTGTGTGTGTGTGTGTGTGTCTGTGTGTGTGTCTCTGTGTGTGTGTGTGTCTGTGTGTGTGTGTATGTCTGTGTGTGTGTTTGTGTGTGTGTGTGTGTGTGTGCGTCTGTTTGTGTGTGTGTGTGCGTGTGTGTGTCTCTATGTGTGTGTGTGTGTGTCTGTGTGTGTGTCTCTGTGTGTCTGTCTGTGTCTGTGTGTGTGCGTGTGTATCTGTGTGTGTGCGTGTGCGTGTTTCTGTGTGTGTGTGTGTGTATCTGTGTGTGTGTCTGTGTGCTGTGTGTAAATCTTTCTCAAATGCATAATTTACTAAATCTCCAGCAGTGAGAGATGAAGAAAGTGAAACAAAAGTGTCTGTTATTTTATTGCTGTTGATATTCAAAGCCTGGTGTCACCTCCGCTCTGATGCAGAGGCTGTATTTATGTAGACTGCTAAAAACATCATGAAAAACACCCAGCATGTTTTACCTACGGTCGAAACGAAATCTTCAAAGTGTATCACTGCAGAACATCTGGTGCCTGTTCTTTTCACTGTGATTAAAACATGCTTTCATCTAATTCCTCGTGTATTTTATTGAATAAATATAGTTTTGGAGATCAGATGTTTGAGTCTATTTGTCTTGTAAAAGAAGTGGAAGGGTGTGACTTCAGTAGAATCAGCAAATATGCTTTATTCACTCAATAAAAGTGTGCGGTTTGTTTACAGAGGATGTAAAACAGATAGAGGGAGGCTTGTGATGCGTTCAAATGTAAATGTAAATAAAGATAGCTCTCATACTTTATTTTGTATTTTAATAAGTTGTTGTTGTTGTTGTTGTCATACAAACTGTATATGTATAGAGCAGACTGTTGGCAAATGGAATCACACAACACTGCTAAAAGGCTTTTTACTCTATCATGTTTTCCTGATAAAAGTGTGTATATATGGAGAGAAAGAGACCAGAGAGAGGCCAGAGAGAGGCCAGAGAGAGACCAGAGAGAGAGAGACCAGAGAGAGGCCAGAGAGAGACCAGAGAGAGACCAGAGAAAGGCCAAAGAGAGACCAGAGAGAGACCAGAGAGAGGCCAGAGAGAGGCCAGAGAGAGGCCAGAGAGAGACCAGAGAGAGGCCAGAGAGAGACCAGAGAGAGAGACCAGAGAGAGGCCAGAGAGAGGCCAGAGAGAGACCAGAGAGAGACCAGAGAGAGAGACCAGAGAGAGGCCAGAGAGAGACCAGAGAGAGACCAGAGAGAGGCCAGAGAGAGAGACCAGAGAAGAGGCCAGAGAGAGACCAGAGAGAGGCCAGAGAGAGACCAGAGAGAGACCAGAGAGAGGCCAGAGAGAGACCAGAGAGAGACCAGAGAGAGGCCAGAGAGAGAGGCCAGAGAGAGACCAGAGAGAGACCAGAGAGAGGCCAGAGAGAGACCAGAGAGAGACCAGAGAGAGGCCAGAGAGAGAGACCAGAGAGAGGCCAGAGAGAGGCCAGAAAGACCCCAGAGAGAGACCAGAGAGAGACTAGAGAGAGACCAGAGAGAGGCCAGAGAGAGAGACCAGAGAAGAGGCCAGAGAGAGGCCAGAAAGACCCCAGAGAGAGACCAGAGAGAGACTAGAGAGAGACCAGAGACAGGCCAGAGAGAGGCCAGAGAGATGCCAGAGAGAGACAAAAGTGAGAGACCAGAGGGATAGACCATAGAGAGAGACAGACCAGAGAAAGAGAGAACAGAGAGAGTGAGAGCAGAGAGAAAGCGACCAGAGAGATAGAGCATAGGGAGAGACGGACCAGAGAAAGGCCAGAGAAAGACAGACCAAAGAGAGAGAACAGAGAGAGAAAGATAGACCATAGCGAGAGATAGACCAAAGAGATAGAGAGAGAGAACAGCGAGAGAGACCAGAGATACAGTATGCTATGCGGTACCATCACATGCATGGTTGTGTGTGCATTCTCTTCCCTCTGAGTAAATACTGTTGGTTAATGTAATTGTCCTGTTTATTTGCACCGACGTGAACATCTTAATGAAAACACTTATCTACGGACACAAACGACTGAAGCGTTTCTCTAATGAGCTGATGAAATACCTGCTTTGAACTTGTTAAATCCCACAGTATTCTGCGGCAGGATCATTGGAGTGTATTTAATGGCGGGGTTAGCAGCAGCTGTTGTAGTGTGTGCGCATATGTCCATCCTTCTGGTCAGCGGCGAGGCCTCTCTCGCTCTGCTCTTCATTACATCTGAAATGTCAGTGTTTATATAGAACTGCATAGAAACAACAATAGAAACAACTGGGGGAGCGAAAGAGCGTGTGATAATAATGGTTATAATGTTTCAAACTTATATAGTGGACAGAGAGAGAGAGCAGAAAGAGAGAGACCAGAGAGAGAGAGCGACCAGAGAGAGACTAGAGAGAGAGAGCGACCAGACAGAGAGAGACCAGAGAGAGAGAGCGACCAGACAGAGAGAGACCAGAGAGAGAACAGAGAGAGCGACCAGAGACCAGAGAGAGAAACCAGAGAGAGAACAGAGAGAGAGCGACCAGAGAGAGACCAGAGAGAGCGACCAGAGACCAGAGAGAGAAACCAGAGAGAGAACAGAGAGAGAGCGACCAGAGAGAGACCAGAGAGAGCGACCAGAGACCAGAGAGAGAAACCAGAGAGAGAACAGAGAGAGAGCGACCAGAGAGAGACCAGAGAGAGAGAGAGACCAGACAGAGAGCGACCAAAGAGAGAACAGAGAGAGAGCGACCAGAGAGCAACCAGAGAGAGAACAGAGAGAGAGCGACCAGAGAGAGACTAGAGAGAGACCAGAGAGTGAGCGACCAGAGAGATAAGAGAGAGAACAGAGAGAGACCAGAGAGAGAGAGAACAGAGAGAGAGACCAGAGAGAGATTTGGCCTCCAAAACACAATCTTAATAATGTCCATAATTTCATGTTTTAGTACTTACAGTATATTCATTTCCATCAGCAAGTGGAAGCCAAATCCCGTCAGGCTTCAGAAGCTAAGCAGGACAGGGCCTGGTTAGAACTGTGATGGGAGACCAATGGGGACACCAGGTGCCACAGTGGGGCGGCTGCAAAGTGCCTAAATGTTGTTGTGTCCTTAGGCAAGACACTTCACCCACATTGACTAGAATGAGTCTAGTGTGTGTGTGAATGGTTGGTGGTGGAGGGAGGGGCTCAGAGGTATTTACAGATGTGTATATTGTACTTTAGCAGCAGAGAATGACCAAAATAAACAATAGTTACAATTAACAAGTAGCTATTCCAAGCAAAAAGACAAAAGCCATTCTCGATGCAGGACTTTATCACTGTGTTTAATCCAGACACGTACTTCCTGTTGTTAAGAAATCATGTAGAAATGTAAAGTGACAAACGGTGGCGTTGAAAACCTCGAACGCTTATCGAAGGTTGTGTTGTTCTTGCTCAAGGCCAAAGCACACAAAATATTTATGGAAATGTCCTCAGCTCAACTGTTCTGCGATGTACAGTGTGAATTATAATGAGGCCGGTTTACAACTCAAAGACTGAACAAAAAGGGCCACATCCAGCTGCCTCCCCATTGGCCTTGTAAACAGCTGATTTGGAGACCTGTATGATGTATTTTATATTGCATTTCTGCTCCTTTGACTGTATTTGGAGTTTGAAGTTTAATTTATTGCAGCTAAAATCTGGAACAATCTTCCTGAAAATGTGAGGCTGGCATCTACTCTGGCATTTTTCAAATCCAGGTTAAAAACAATCAGCGGTGCATACAACTGAAGGATTTTAGATTTACTCTTTTTAATGCATTGTGGCTATTCATTATTTTAATCCTGTGTGTGATTTTAATGTTTTAATGTTTTTAACTACTTCTTACTTATTCTGTTTTTAATATTTCTTGAGCTTGTGTTTTTATGTACTGTACCCTCACTGGTGCTGATGAATAAAGTTATTTGAATTTGAATTGGACAAGACCAGAAACAACATAAAACAAGGCATTTCAATCGTAAATGATCACAATATATTAAAAAGAGTGAAGATACAATCCAGTCAAGAAGCCTGTCTCACATTTTCAGGAAGACTGTTCTGTGACTTTCCCCACTGTGGGTCGAATGCAGCAGTATTTTTTGTCTTTCTATCCTCACTTGTTCCTTGTGTGTTTTTCGCAGGGGCCTGATATCCTTGAACTCGAGTCACAACTTTTACCTGGAGCCTGTGAGCGGAGACGACCACGCCCTGCTAAGCGCTGACCAGCTGTCCGTCACCCGCGGCAACTGTGGACATGGACACGCCCACAGCACGCTACTGTCCAAACACATGTCCTCTTTTCACTCCAGGGTAAGACAACGGTTTTATTTGAAAAAAGTCCAAAAGTATATGGTAATTGAAATGTTATGGGGGACTGTTGTACATATTTTGAGTGGGAGGGGAAACTGGAGCACTCGGAGGGAAACCTGACACTCGGAGAACATGCAAACTCTACAAACATGAATATTTCTGTCATACAATTTAAGTATGCTCATTTTACATACAGAAGGATTTGCTGCATCCCTCCTGTATTTCCGCCCAGGGAGATACAGGAGTCTAAGAGAGACCAGAAAAAGAGACCAGAGGGAGACCCAGGAAGAAATCCAGAGAGAGAGACCAAAGACCAAAAGAGAGAGAGAGAGACAAGATAAAGAGACCAGAATAAGACCAGAGAGAGACCAGAGAGAGATCCAGAGAGAGACCCAGAGAAAGACCCAGAGAGAGACCAGAGAAAGACCCAGAGAGAGACCCAGAGAGAGACCCAGAGAAAGACCCAGAGAGAGACCCAGAGAGAGGCCCAGAGAGAGACCCAGAGAGAAAGACCCAGAGAGTGACCTAGAGAGAGAGACCAGAGAGTGACCCAGAGAGTGACCCATGAGAGAGACCCAGAGAGAGACCCAGAGAGAGAGGCCCGGAGAGAAAGACCAGAGAGTGACCCAGAGAGTGACCCAGAGAGTGACCAGAGAGAGACCCAGAGAGAAAGACCAGAGAGAAAGACCCAGAGAGTGACCCAGAGAGTCACCCAGAGAGTCACCCAGAGAGTCACCCAGAGAGAGACCCAGAGAGTGACCCAGAGAGTGACCCAGAGAGAGACCCAGAGAGTGACCCAGAGAGTGACCCAGAGAGTGACCCAGAGAGTGACCCAGAGAGAGACCCAGAAAGTGACCCAGAGAGTGACCCAGAGAGTGACCCAGAGAGAGACCCAGAGAGAGAGACCCAGACACATATTCAAAAAGAGAACCAGAGAGAGACCGGAGAGAAACCCAGAGAGAAAGACCCAGAAAATGACCTAGAGAGTGACCCAGAGAGAGACCCAGAGAGTGAGACCCAGACACATATCCAAAAAGAGACCCCGAGAGAGATCGGAGAGAGACCCAGAGAGTGACCCAGAGAGAGTCAGAGAGAGACCCAGTGACAAATCCAAAAAGAGACCCAGAGAGAGACCAGAGAGAGATCAGAGAGAGACCAGAGAGTGAGACATGATAGAGACCCAGATAGAGACCGGAGAGAGAGACCAAATAAAGACCAAAAAGAGACCAGACAGGAGGAGGAAAAATCCCAACCAGCAATAACAGCGTCTCTTTCTGGAATTCCATAAAACAGCAATTGTCTGAGACACACTAGTTCATGTCTACATCATTCATAGAGTCACATTATACATGATAATCTAAAACATGTTTGCGTCTCCATACTGGTCAAACATAACGGCAACATCTGAAATATGTCTCTTGAAAGCTGACAAAGTTCAGTCTCTCTTCTTTAGTGCCAAAGTTATTGCATGATGCTGTCAAATATGTTTCAAATGAACAAAGGAAAGTCCTGGGTTGTGTAGAGAATTATTCTGCGATTAGTCAAAGCCAAATGATATCTCGCTCTTCGGCATCTCTACTTCTCTAACACCGTGTTTGATGAATGATTCTCTGCCATCCAAACTTTATTTCCAAAGCCGGGAGAGTTCTGTAATGTTTAAACATGAAGCCTTCTCCGCTCCTATAATCCAGCCGACCCCAGCAGAGGAGAATCTTTTTGTCATTTGCAAACCTGGTGTTGAAACGCTGGAGGTGCCATTTTGGGCCATAAAACTCAGCGGCACCAGTGGAAATGACTGAATTATGGTGTGACCGGCTTCGGAGTGCGCTGGTCCGTCTGCCCGCTCGCTCACTCGGCCTCACAGCGGGAGTTTAGAAGGACTCATTTCATACTTTTGTTTCACTTACATTTGAAATATCTCCTTTTTTTTCCCCATTTGGAGCCACTGCGCAGATGTCAGTGCTGCTTACAATCAAAGGACCAGTTCAAGCGTGACCGAGGAAAGGGAAGTGAATTTAAACCGTTTCAATTGTGAGAGAAGGTAGACGGCAGATCCATGAGAGAGCAAAGTGATGAGGGAGAAAGTCATCGGTGCAGTCTCAACTTACTCTGGAACTCGTAATGTTATGGAACTATATAACACACTATTATCAATCACCCAACTATGTGGTTTTTTTAGAAAAGGGGGAGCAAACAAGCTAAAAGTAATTGGTCCCAATGAGACGAAAGTGGGACTCATTTTGAAGAGACCCAGAGAAAGATCCAGAGAGAGAGACCAGAGACCAAAGACAAACCAGAGAAACAAGAGAGAGACCAGAGAGAGAGACCAAAGAGAGACCAGAGAGAGACCAGAGAGAGAGAGAGACCAAAGAGAGATTAGAGAGAGAGAGACCAAAGAGAGAGTGAGAGACCAAAGAGAGAGCAGAGAGAGACAAGAGAGACCAAAGACAAACCAGACAGACAAGAGAGAGACAAAAGACAGACCAGAGAGAGCTAGAGACCAAAGAGAGACCAAAGAGAGACCAGAGTGAGAGCAGAGAGACCAAAGAGAGAGCAGAGAGAGAGAGAGAGACGCCAGAGAGAGACCAAAGAGAGACCAGAGAGAGAGAGATAAAGACCAAAGAGAGACCACAGTGAGACCAGAGAGACCAAAGAGAGAGCAGAGAGAGAGAGACACCAAAGAGAGACCAGAGAGAGAGACCAAAGAGAGACCAGAGAGAGAGAGAGCGAGACCAGATAGAGACCAGAGAGACCAGAAAGACTAAAGAGAGACCAGAGAGAGATCAGAGAGAGACCAGAGAGACCAAAGAGACTAAAGAGAGACAAGAGAGAGATCAGAGAGAGACCAGAGAGACCAGTCACAATAAGGCCGGCCTAAAAAGCATGGAGAAAATGCAGGATTTTTGTGTGTGTGAGAATATGTGAAGATAAAGTGGGGACATATTGATGTTGCAGCGCACATACAAGACAGCAGTGATAGTGACCATGAAAGTAAAGGCGTCCACACTTATGGTCAGATAATTCCCTCCTGTCCATCCTAGACAGAGGAAGTAAGGAAGTGGACGTGACTTGCTACGCTAATGGTCACATGGCTGCATATGAGCCAATGACGGGCAGCTCTTTGTAGCATTCAGAGATTCACACAGAGATATGTCCACAGATAAGTTAAATAAGCATCTTTTAGAAAACAAACTGAAAAGTGTGAGGATGTTGCAGGACGGAGGTGGTGGGCTCAGCTGTGTGCGTTTGTGAGCTTCATGAGCGAGAGCCGAGACCCCTGGAGTAAAACCGGGAGCACGTGTCCGCACCTGCAGAACACAGCGACGATAAATCACAGTGTGACCGACTTCTGCGCAGGCTCCAGAATAGACCTGTTTGTGTGTTAGTGGGACATCACAGAACAGCACTGCACTGACAAAAGGAAAGATTCAAGATTCAAGCTTTTATTGTCACAAAAGCAAGGACATTCCGTGATAATAAAGTGTATAAAGTGCAGATTGGTAAGACTTATTCACTTAAAACAACATACAGGATGCTTATTTTTTGCTTACGTTTTTTTTTCTTGATTTTACTTTTTCAGACAACTTTTCTTCTTGTTTAAATAAAATAAAAGTATGAAAAATGTTTAAGAAATAAGTCCATAATACTTAAAATGTAGAATCAAGTCATTTGGGGCTAGCATTATTTTCAGAAATCTTGTGTAGACATATTTTGGCAGATATTTTCTTATTTTTAAGCAGTATTTTACTTATTTTCAAATGTTTTTTTCAAGGGATTTTTTCTCCACAGTAACAGTTGTAACAGTTTAAAGCCAGCTGATAATCACTGTTTGTGTTTAAGAACTTAGCAGCTGAAATGAGGAGGACGTTTGAGACTGACCCTAATTTCCACAGTGACAGGTTGTTCCTCTTTCTCTGCTTTTGTTCTCACTGAGGCCTAATTATAAACACAGAGAGTGAACAATAATTAAACTAAACACATTCTTAAAATCCAAGTAGAATCCAGCAGAAACAGGACGCACTAAACAGCCTTTTGTTCTTGGCGGTATATTCTCACACTTTTAAAATTAAAAACACGCAGGAGGAGGTTTTTATAGTTGGTTGTATATCGTCTTGATAGTTCCATTTTTATTTCTTTGTGTGGACTCTCTCCTTGTTTTCCAATTACTCTTTTACTTTTGTAATTTACGTTTGTGTACTGCCCCAAACCGATTCACTCAAATTTAAGTTTTCTTTCTCAAGTCATTTGAAAAGTACCATGGTACTCATTGCCTTCTGCGTGTGTGGGACCAATTTCATTCACGTACAAAATGAAAACATAAAATGACACACAGCAGAGTCTGAGATTATCAAAACAACAAATGGTTTCGTGAATGACAATAAGTGAAGTAGCAGCGGTATGTTTTAAGGCTGAAAAGCCCTCACACTGACTTTATACACTTTTCTAACCGCCTGAGCTCAAGACTGCTGAAGAGAGAGAAACCAGACATATCAAAACTGTTTGTTGTAGGTCTGAGAGCTACTGCAGCTGTCAAAAGCCGTGCATACACTGTAGGAATACAGCTGCAGTTGAGACTGACGGGCAGGAGCAGAACTGAGGGATGGGAAGACCAGATAGAGATCAGAGACAGACCAGAGACAGACCAGAGAGAGACCAGAGAAAGACCAAAGAGAGAGACCAAAGAGAAACCAGAGAGACCAAAGAGAGAGACTATAGAGAGACCAGGGAGAGAGACTGGATGGAACAGACAGACACTAGAGAGAGAGACCAAAGAGAGACCAGAGGGAGACCAAAGAGAAACCAGAGAGAGACTAGAGAGGGAGAGACCAGATAGAAACCGGAGTGAGAGAGAGCAAAGAGAGACCAGAGAGAGTTACTCTGAACTAATCACCGCACACAAGCCCCAAAAGTCTTCTTCTGACTTTAAATAAATGTAACTGTCACATACTTGCGGTTATATGATGATGTTGGAGTATGCACAAAAACACACAAAAAACACACAAAATAGCAAGACATTATAACGAGGGGCCAGTGTAATCTGTATGTGTGGAAAAGACAGATTCACAATGTCGCTCTTCCATGTGTGGAGTTGGAGGTGGGGGGGTGGGGGCACAGTGAGGAGGTGGAGGAGACGGGGGGCCCTACTGAGGAGCCTGGAGCTTCTCGGGGCCAGAGTTCATCCTAATAAAGCCCTCTGGTGTCGGAGGCGGCGTTCGGGGGTGGGCTCATTTCATTTACAGCCGAGAGGACGAGATGACACGAGTCTTCAGACGCCTCTGCTTCATATGAGGCCAGAAAAACTCATTACAAGATCACTACAGTTCTCTGGGGGGAGACACCGCTCTCAAAGCCCTGAGCCTGGATGTGTTTGGGGCCAGTGCCGGGGCCCGGAGTCTCTAACATAAACAGCAAACTGTAGACAAACAGTTCTTACTGCATGGGCTAATTAAGGAATTATAATTATAATTCAACTTTACTAACCCGCAGTGACAGATTACAGATGCATTCTACGTTCTGTGTATGTGCCACTTTATTTACTTTTTTGATAGAACCATCCATCCATCCAATTTCTTCCCCTTAATCCATTTCTTGGTGGTGGTGGTGGCAGGGTTAGGCTTCAGGCAAAGTGGGGTTAAGTGTCTTGCCCAAGGACACACTGACAGCAGACATCATTGGGAGTCGCCCCAGAACCAAAACCACGTACTTTTATGGAGTACTTTTTGTATATGCTTTTTATATATTATTTATGAAAAATACTTTTTGAAGAGATTTATACGATATTGCAGTGGTGAAAAATAGTTAAAAATGTGTTTGACAGATGACTGTGTTTTGTTTTGGTTTTTGTTTGAGTGCGTTGTTTTTTTTAAATAGAACCACCTACATTTCACAAAAGAAACTGGAAACCCAAACGGGAGACTCATTCTGCTCTCTGAATGGATAATCTGCTCAAAAACCTAAAACATATATGTTGTAGACATCATTTTCATAACATTTACTTGTCATAAATGTCCATCATAAATGTTGGAGCATAGTCTGTATTTACCGTCTGTATCCACGACTCTCAAACCTGCAGAGAGCACTTTCAGGCCGCTCCCCAAAACAGGATGTTGAATGATTACATTTAGCTTAATTTACATTTTGATCTAATGTCCTATCTACTCACGACAAATGTATTATATATGTACATCAGGTGTCTCCAACCTTTTTCACCCAGAGAGCTACTCCTTTAAGTTGCTCTGGGGAAAAAAATTATGATATAATGGTCTGAACAAGCCTGATATTGGGTACAGTCATTATTTATCAATGCATATTTATTACTAGTGACAAAGTAAGTGCATTTACAATTACAAAAAATCATCATGAATTATACAATCCTAAATTTTAAGTTTATTATTTGATTTGTTCATTTCTAAATCCTTTGGCGAGCTACCTGGAAGGGGGTGGCGAGCTACTGGTGGCTCCTGAGCTACAGGTTGGAGACCCTTGTTGTACATACACACATATATTGCAGGGATACATATACATATATACGCTTTAGTGCAGGGATACTAAACAATATTCTGTTTTTTTTCCTTGCTTTCTCAGATTTATTTTTTAGTATGTATTTTAATCACAAAAATCAGTAGCTCTCTAGTCAAAAAAGGTTGGGGACTACTGACCTACGGTTTATGAAGTTGGCCTATTATCTGGGGACATCTATAAAATATGGATTTGTAATTTAAAATGAAAGTATTACATCTGGTCCCTTTAAGATAAGTGTGATGTATTGCGGGGTTTTTCTTTTGCTCCAAGGTTCCACATAATGAACAGAAGGTAATAAATGTTTAATCCAAGTACCTGCACTCGAAAGCCTGGTGCTCTTGATCATATCCCCTCCAAAAAACTACTGTTTCAATAAATGCAAAAAAAAAAAGAATAAATCAAGCCATGCATTTTATCAAACAAGTTTCCAAGATGACACAGAAATAAAATCAATACATTTAAATATGCGTGTTTGCCAGCCTTATGTTTAAAAAATATAAATTAATAAATACATCTATAAAATGGAAGTAAAACATTATGCAAGAAATGTCAAAACATTACAAATATAATCATAAAAACAATAAAATGCCAGTTAAAAATAAAAATGTGATAGAAACCATACAACACTATATTATCTGGTTTTAAAATGAAAATAAAATAAAAAAATAAATAAAACAAATAAAAAGAGGACCACAAAAATTACGCGGTGTTAAAAGCCAGAGAGTGGAAGCTGTGGTTGATACAAATCAACGAGTTTGACCGAAATGTGTAAAATCCTCCACACAGTTCATGGCAAAAACAAACAACTGCGCACATTACATTTACTCTTTCTCCCCCATCGCCACGGCAACCTCCTCAGCCTCCAGCGACAACCATCTTTTTCCATAATTATTTCTCCAGATTACTGCAGTTGGTTTGTGTCGCTGTAGTGGAGTACAGACATTCAGGGACGCTGCTCGACCTCGGTTCCTTCGATGCTTTTGTTATAGTTTGTTGCTGCAGCCGCCGGGATTGATTGAGTCTATATTCTGGACATATGCACAATATCATGATGTGTCTCCCGATAAGTCACTTTAAATCACTAATGCACAAGGACTGAAAAAAACTGCTATTGCGTTCAGTTCAACGTTCACGAAAAAATGTGCGTGTTCAATGACCGCGTTCTTCTGAACTCGTTCACGCACGACACTGAATTTCAAAACGTTCTACCGGTCATTATTTCTTGATAACTGACCTCTCAAAACAATAATGACCGCTGCCCTTTGGCAACGCACTTTCTGCTTTTAATTCAGATGTGTAGATTACTCCGCAAGTAGTTCCGGCCACTTCGTCGCTAGCCACGCTCAATGAACGCAAATACCAATCAATCAACACATTTAAATGTTAATCAGAGAATGCATTATACATATACATTCTTAACACACATGCACAGAGATTTTCAGAAGTATCTGTTAAGGTCTGATGTTCAGAATTCTTTGTTCAGCTTTCATGCAGTTCGAGAGAGTTCTAGTTTGGAAGTTGCTAGCCTAACTGTTACTCGCATAGCCACGGGAAAATCTTTATTCATTCTGTTAAATAAACCTTTCCGCATTCCTAAAAGTGAACTGAAGTCTATTTTGTGTGTTCTGTGTGTTCTGTTGCTACAAAGCCGTGGAAGCAGACCCTGCTTCGCTCTGTCGGTACTTATTTTCCAATAATGACCTGCGTACTATACATTATCCCTTACTTAATATTCAGACGAAACCATTACATTTTCTCTCTGTTTGTATGTGTCATTTTATTTATTGTCATGTTTGGTTTTATTTTGTCCGCAGCTCGCTTCCTGTTAATGTTGGTCTATTGTCCATGGGGGGAATCTAAAAAAATCTTTTAAAATGTAAAATTCTATCTTCTGCACATGGATCTTTGATCAGTGTTAATAAAGAAACCTTTGAAATAACTCTTACCCGGAAGGATCGGCGAGGGGCTGGTGACTCCCCTCGACCCAGACATGACTCGTAAAGGGGATGAAAATGAACGAATGCTTTTGACATTGCTTTACATCTAAACCAGGCATGTCAAACTCAGGCTCGTGGGCCAAGTCGGGCCCAGAAGAAATTTTTTAGTGGCCCCTAAAATGTGTTTTAATTATTATTATTAACTTGTAAAAACTTTCATTGATGGTTATGGGTTGCCGAGGCATGTTTTATCTCATCAGATAATTAAAAGTTGTAAAGATGAATATAAAGTGTTTACATTTATATTTCCAGTTTTGATCCAGTTTTGGTTTAATAAAAAACATTGACTGTCTATATACACTCTGTGAACTAAACTGGGCTTGTTCCACAGTTTTAAGATAAGATAAGATACACTTTATTGATCTCACAATGGACAAATGTTTCCAGTTTCAAATGAAGGAAACAGTTTCTCTGCTTCTTTTGTAATATTCAGTGTTTTGATAGTTTGCTCTGTGGGGTTTTCATAGGAATACATATTTTTGACCATTTTTACCACTGTAATATCACCAGTAATAGTTCCTGGAGGAGAATAGTTTAGCCCAATGAAAAATGTCTCTCCATCTTGAAAGTTAGAGCCGGGTCTCTCCGCAGCACAGGAGATATTACCGGGATAATGACTACATCGTTTAGACGTGATAGAAAGTTGGGGTGGGACTTTCAGTTTCTCTGCTGCTCATAGATCCCGACCCTGGAGACAGCATTTTCTAACAGCTTCATTGTGTTCTTGTTGTTGTGTGTCTGCAGGTAAAGAGAAACGCCTGGGGGACCACCAAATACATGGAGCTTTACATCGTGGCAGACAATACACTGGTAACTTTCAAGATTCAAGAATTTATTTGCCATTTGCAGTAAAACCACATTGGAAAAACTGTGCAAGACCCAGTGTGCACCAGACAGCACACACCAGGGCTGCTCGCGGCATGAGGCCATATACCTGCATGTTAAACCCATATCCTGTCAGACCTCTGAAGCTAAAATGGGCAGAGCCTGGTTAGTGCTGTGATGGGAGACCTCTGGAAACAGCAGGTGCCACAGTGGGGCGGCTACGGCTGTAAAGTACCAAACTGTTGCTGTGTCCTTAGGCAAGACACTTCATCCACATTGCCTAGAATGAGTCTGGTGTGTGTGTGAACGGTTGGTGGTGGTCGGAGGGGCAGCTATAGTGTTTAGCACCTTTGCATATGAAAAATTACATGAAAAGTGTTTTTGAGAGTCTAAAAAAACTTTATATAAAACCAATTTAGTATTATTATTATTATTGTTTAACACATTTATTGAGGCACACATGGAAAGAAGTACAAATATCTTTATTGTTTTCTTATGTGTGAAGCGTTTTTTGAGAGTCTAAAAAATATTCATATAAAACTGATTTTTCTTTCAATTATTATTACTATTTAACATATTTATTAAATTTTATATTTTACAAAGGCACACATGGAAAGAAGTACAAATATATTTATGGTTTTCTTACGTGTGAAGCATCTTTGAGAGTCTGAAAAAGCGCAGTATTGAGCTAATTTATTATTATTATTATCATATCCGCATAACATCACCATACTCTGATAATATGATCCCAATCGCAGTAATGACATAGTGGACGAAACACGCGTGCTTTTCGTGCTTTTTGATTAACCATAAAAATGATCGTGATTTGTTTTTGTAACATCTCATCGGCGCCAATTGTAGGAAATGAAAGAATCAAAACCTGAACCCAGTGACCAGAATCTTATATATATTTCTTAAGCAGTTTACGTACCTTGTGTATCCTGTTAGCGACCGTGGCATTAGTATTACGATGGAAAAAGCAGTCATGGGAGGCAACAAGAAAAGCAAGTCATATTTCAAGGTGTCACACGAGATAAACTAGCGTCCTTTGCTCTAATGAGACAATTTAGCCCCAGAGATGCTTCTATAACACATAATAGTAGCTTTCATCCTCGTCATGGAAGCTATCAACCACAATCAGGAATAATGAAAATAGAGAAATTGCTTCTATGGTAACCGAGCGTATATTTATCGGAAAGTCCCTGGAGCTATTTCTCTCTGGTTTTCAACTCCAAATGGTAGAAAACGTATCCATTCCAATTTGTGTTTTGTGCAGTATCTCAAGGACTTCTCCCTATTCAAAACAAATCGAACGTTTAAATCATTCTGAAACCCATGAATAGGACCTTTAATGCATCACTTGATTCAACATTTGATTATAAATGTGTTTATCTTGGCCTGAATATAAGAGAAATATAAATACTACAATACGATTCTAGTGTCCAGTGTCTGATGAATATTCAGAGGCTAATGTAATTTTGTTGTTGAAGTATAAAAAACAAAGAAACAGACGACTGTGGAGTGAATTGGGGAAACTTTCAGTCTTGAGATGTGCAAAGCTTAAAAGATTTTTGCAGTGTTTTCAGCCAAAAGGGGGTTATAGAAAATATTAACTTGTGTTGTGTGAGAACTGGTACAAGCCCCAACACACACACACACACACATATAAAATAAAATTGGGTCTTTTGGTTGACCTTTTGGTACCATCTTTTTTTATGTTTGTGAACAGAAATATGACAAAATATCAAGTTGTTTTACCAAGAAAGTCCCACAGAGATTTCAGAATCTTTTTTTCTATCTTGCTATCGAAGGATCTATCTATCTATCTGTATATTTCCCCAGAGAGAGTGTATGTTTTTCTCTATCGGCAGAGGAAAACGGAGGAACCATAAACGAGGCAGACACAAATAGAGAACATGCCTACTCCACTCAGAAAGGCCCTGCCTGTAGGTGGAATCCAACCCAGGAGCTGAGAAGTGCTAACCACTCAGCCACTGTGCAGTCCTTTCAAATACTGTGCAATATTCCACATATATAAAACCCATTTACAGTATTTGACGTCCACGTTACCGTGAAGTTAATCACTCCGACTAATTCCTTTTGACACCGCGCTCACAACAAGTACTCCAGCATCTCCGTCACAATCGCCATGGTAACCGCCCATTAAAAAGGCTTTACGCAACTGGTGTAATTGTCATAATGGACCCAAGACAGAACAAGGCTTATTTGTCTTACCTGTTTCTTTTTTTTATGACTAATTCATTCCGATTTCTTTCTTCTGCTGCAGTTTAAGCGTCAGAATAAGGACTACGAGAAAACCCGGACCAGGATAATGGAAATTGCCAATTACGTGGATAAGGTGAGGCTGATGGCTTCGCTGCGACTGCAAATGGCCAAAGTCAACAAGATAATGGCCAGTGCTGGGGCGGGATCACTCGTCTCTATGCGGCCCATTACTGATCTGCTCTGCTTTGTGTTTCAAACAAGTGATTAGTGAAGACCGAAGCTGGCAAACTCGCCCAGATGGTACAAGAACAAAACCACACAGATAATTGGAATATATAATGTCCAATAATATAGATTTAGTCAGTCATTTAGGACTCAATTTGAGCTTTGTGATTGCATACACCAGCCCAGCCCAGAATACTGTGTTTCTTCATCAATTTTTTTTGTTATAAGTCTATACTAAAAAAATAAATACATACAAACCTCTAACTCTAGCATCAAAAGAAGCAGTATAAAATCTCTATCTTTAGTATGATTTGGAAAGAATTATTATGTGAACAGAATCAAGTAAATAAGTAAGTAGTGATGTTCATTTATAGGGCGCATTTTGCAGACCAAGGTCACCCAAAGTTTTTCAATCAGAGTTGAGATATTTTTCCATTCTCTCCACACACGGTGATGACGGAAGCGAGATTCCGAACACACTGAACCATCAAAGCCCCAACCAACAACATCCATTCACTCACTCATTACATTCATACCTATTGTACATGTTTTTTAGTGGTATAGGGTACACCGGAGCACCTGGAGGAAACCTATGCATACACAGGGAGAAACTGCAGTGCCGGCCAAAATCAAACTCACAATGTACTCGGAAAGTACTGTTAAATGGGTGTGTCTTGCTCCCAGTTACTTAAATTCAATGTATTCTTGTATAGCCCTAAATCACAACAATAATTGGTAAGTAGTAAGTAAGTAATATTTATCTACATAGACCAAGAACTTTACAATTTGTTGTGTTTTGGGGCATTTTGTCTCTCTCTCTACACATAGATGGGAGCAGGAAGTAAAGAAAGGAACTTGCCAGACCTATTGTGCATGTTTTTAGTGGTAGGGAAAACCAGAGCACCCGGAGGAAACCTATACAGACACGGGGAGAGCATGCAAACTCCACACAAACCCAGGACATTCAAGCGCTAATCACTGTGCCACCGTGCTGCCCTAATTATCTCCGAGGATTATACAAGACCGTCGATTTCGCCAACACAGATCAGAGAATCAAACAGTTCAAACACAAGAAATGCATTAATGAAAAAACACATAGAGCCATTAGTCCATTTGGGACAGAGACCAATGTCCACAAATGTTTATAAATGTCCATAAATGTCATTTGTGAGTGAATGTTTTCGTGCTCAGTTCTACAGAGCCCTGAACATCCGCGTGCCTCTGATCGGTCTGGAGGTGTGGACCGACAGAGACCAGTGCATCGTGAACGAGGAGCCCAACGCCACGCTCTGGTCCTTCCTCCAGTGGAGACAGAAGCTCAAGTCCCGCAAGAAACACGACAACGCACAACTGCTCACGTAAGCCCCACCGACTCTGAGACCAACTGACTGCTCTCACCATGTGTCCACTGGTCACTTAAAGGTGTCTCGGGAGATTTTTCCGGAAGTCCCATCTCTGGTCTTCCGCAGGGCCATTCTAATTTGATGTAGTTGTGGCCTGTTTTTTTCCTTAATGATCCGAGGCAAACAGGTGTCTTTGAGTGATTGATTTAAGTAATGAAATACATTGATAATTATGTAATGTGTGAGTCCAAGCTGTGGGGAAGGAGTTAGCGGACCTTCACAGCCACAGGAAGGAAGAGGTGAGAGACGGGAGGAGAGAGGTGAGGGGGAGGAGAAGGGGGAGGACTGGGAAGGATGAGAGAGATCAGCCATCTAATATTAATAATAATTTGGCCACAATAGTGACATAGTCCTTGTACACAACTGGACAGCCCCTTTTGAAAGAACACACAGACCCTGTGTATTTTAGGGTTTCCTATGTTAATTTTGAGTTTCTTATGTTTTTCATTTCACATTATACAATTTCAAGATTATTCATTTGTCTCCTTCAGCAGAATGGGTCTTCTACATAATCGAGACACAAAGGACACAAACAAACAACTCTCGCCCAGTGTTATGCCGCTCCTCTACTGTCTTTTCACTCATCCTCTCAGCGGCCCACACTGACGTTTTTCACAGTTGTAGCTCTTCTATTTTCAAAACCTGGGAAAATTGCTAACCGACTCCATCAAAAGCCTCTGTGGTTCATTGTTCATTTGCTGGCGGCAGAAGGAGACGTGTGATTGGTGCAGAACACAGGGATTAAATGTGAGGTCGTGGTGTTCATCCGTTTTTGTTGTACCTTTTTAATTGATGCAAAGTTTACTTTGTGTTTTTCCCCGAGTGACCCAGACTTGGTCCAGCTCCGATTCACCAAAGCATGAATCACTTTGAATGTAATGACTTGTGCTTTAAGACGTTATTTTGGCTTATTTTTCATGTGATTTTCTTCCCCTGAACATAACTCCTCCATAACGCAGGCTTTTATCCCGAGGAGTAAATATCCCTGTGGCAGGTGTGACCTTGTCCTTACTTCAAAGAAGTGCTTTTCAAAAGGGTTGTTGAGAAACTACAAGTAGATATTTGCATCGCTGCTTCTTCAAAGTGTGCATTAGGACTTTTGTTTCTTTTGTTTTGAGTATTTTACACTTAAGATAGCTGCCTGAAGCATTAGCCACTGTGTCTGGTGAGTTGCAGGTATATTCAAGTGTCAAGACATTTTCTATTCTCCAAAGAAAAATCTAGCGGATCAAAGAAATGCTGCAGTTCAGTGCCTCCACCTCCACAAATACAGTGAAGTCTCCTCTCACAATTCTCTCTGTAACTACAGTATATACATCATTTCATTCAAGGTCTAACCAACAATACAGTAAGGAAGTAAACTTTATTTTCCACAGACAAACTCACAGAGAGGCTTTACATATTTTTGTTTAATACGATCACTCCAGACACCACCGCAGTAAGCGTCTGATCTAGTCGCAGGTGCCCTGGGGCAGACAGACACAAGCTGGGCTGCCAAACTGGTGGAACCATCACATCTTTTGATCACGACAACCTTTCTCACAGCAGGCACTGGGCCCTAACAGAACAACAGTTTGTACTTTTGTGCCAAAGCAGCTCTGCTCTGCACTTGCTATTCCCAGCGGTCTCCCATCACATTATCAACCAGGCCCCACACTGCTTCGCTTCAGGGGCTTGGCAGTCTCTAAACACTCATGGCACTATATAATTACATATTGAAACAATATGTTTCTTGCGGCTTGTATGCTCTATCTCTGGTCTCACGCTCTCTGGTCTTTTTCTGTTCTCTCTCTCTGGTGTCTTTCTCTGGTCTCTCTCTCTCTGGTCTCTCTCTGGTCTCTCTCTGGTCTCTCTCTCTAGTCTCATTTTGGTCTCTCTCTGGTCTCTCTCTCTAGTCTCTCTCTAGTCTCTCTCTAGTCACTCTCTGGTCTCTCTCTAGTCTCTCTCTGGTCTCTCTCTACGCTCTCTCTAGTCTCTCTCTAGTCACTCTCTGGTCTCTCTCTGGTCTCTCTCTGGTCTCTCTCCCTGGTCTCTCTCTGGTCTCTCTCTGGTCTCTCTCTGGTATCTCTCTGGTCTCTCTCTGGTCTCTCTCTGGTCTCTCTCTCTCTGGTCTCTCTCTTATCTCTCTCTGGTCTCTCTCTGGTCTCTATCTGGTCTCTCTGGTCTCTCTCTGGTCTCTCTGGTTTCTCTCTGGTCTCTCTCTGGTCTCTCTCTGGTCTCTCTCTGGTCTCTCTCTGGTCTCTCTCTGGTCTCTCTCTGGTCTCTCTCTAATCTCTCTCTGGTCTCACTGCAGCTACTGTATATTTTTACATGTTTATATTTTTGTTGTCATTTGATTCATGCTTTATCAACCAAACAGAAACATCTTAAGTATAGTAAAAGTAGAAACTCGAATAAACCAACTCCACCAGAATATGAAATCTAAAACTCGTCCCACTTCTTCAAATATTTTTGTCTTTTTCTCTTATATTATTATCAGAGAGTGTCAGGGCCTCTCCTCCTCTCTCCTCCTCTCTCCTCCTCTCTCCTCCTCTCTCCTCCTCTCTCCTCCTCTCTCCTCCTCTCTCCTCCTCCTCCGTTTGGCCCGGGCTGTGACTTCCAATTAGGAGCATCCCCAGTGAATTCAGAATGCCCTGAAATAATGATCAGGAAAATGTACACAAGGATATTACTAAGTTAAAGATGCACTTTTAGCTCCTCCTAATTGGGCCCAACACAGCTTGACTCCAGCGCACACATGCATCCGCTCGCAGGCGATTGGTGGCCCCCGATGTTCTCTAATTAGCCCCGCTCATAGCAAATGGCCTGGATCATTTAGCACGCATGGAAACAGATACGCTTTTTGTGACGGGGAAAAACAGTGGTCTTTGCTAATCCAGGCCAAGTTGGGCTCGAGAGTTTAAAATAACCGGTCGGAGATGTCAATGTTTTGGCCATATTTTTGGGAAATTATGAATGATGACACAGCAATTTTTTTAATGTTATTCGTTCCACAGTGGGGAAATGTCAGTGTTGCATCACCGGTTACAGAATGGTAGGAATGAGGAGCACACAGCACAAGATAAATGAACACAGCTCTATACTCCATACTAAACTCTTTACTGAATGACTCTACACTAAACTCTCTACTAAATAAAGTAACAAAAAATAAAATCTCTCTTTTTTGCTTAATAAGGAAGTAATCTATAATCTCCAACTTTAGCATAATGAAGAAGCAAGAATGAAGTACAAAATATCTGACTTTTGCATGATAAAGAAGTATAAAAATGTCTACCTTTGCCATCATAAAGAGGCAAGTATACATTTCTGTATATTCTTAGAGCAAGAAATATATAGTTGTACATGTGTATATGTTAGCAGCACGAGGGTCTGGGTTGTGGTTTCATGTTGCACATTCTGACATTGGTTCAGGATCGTGCACAGAAATGTGAGGTCAGGTCGACAGTGTTTGTTATTGGTTGTGTGGAGCCATATAAAGTCAAATAACTGTATTTTCTAAATTCTGCATTGAATAAACAAGTCTTGGATCACAGTGTCAAAATCAAATCATTGTTATTTGTATCTCCCAAAAGCTGTCGTCTCAAGGGGCATCTCAGTACTGCCAACTCCTAACGGCTGCCTGGGGACTAGTCCTCAGGTCCAGGGAGTCCAGACTCATACTGGGCAATGTGGGTGAAGTGTCTAGTGTAAAATATTTGAGTATGTCTCCAAATTGTATTTCTCAAAAACTGCACATATTTGGTTTTCATCTTAAAGTGGTAGTCTGTAACTCTAAATGAATTACACATTTTAGGAAATGTGTTAAATTGACCTCCTGGCCTTAAATGTTGATATAAAATAAGTCATTTTATTAATTCTAATATTACAGGTAAGTCCCGCCTTCCCTTCTCTTAACTATAGCTCAGAATCCACGGTGCCGTCGAGGTTAACCAATCAAGTCATGCCAAGGGCTGTCAATCATCGGAGCTGATGCTCGTAGCTGCTCATGCTCAGTTGTTTGTTTTCGCGGAGCCTCCGAATCAAGCCTCCATCAGGCTCTGGAACTACATGAAAACTGAACAAAGAATTCTGAACCTCCGCGCTGAGTTACCCATTTATATACTGAACCTATATCCATAATCATTTATATACTGAACCTATATCCATAATCATTTATATACTGAACCTATATCCATAATCATTTATATACTGAACCTATATCCATAATCAGATCCTCTGCAGGTGTGTCCTATAATGTGCAGTTCATGATAATAGCTTGCTCCGGGTTTGCCGCGATCGCTTTTTTTGTGCATAAAACATAATTATTTTCATTAAAACGTTAACAAATAATGTTAACTCTTAATTCTGAAAACCTACGTGCATGTGTATTAATAATGTATATGTATAATATGTTCTCTGATTAACATTTCAAAGTGTTACGGAAACGTAGGCGTAGACCAATCAGAAAGGAAGGGGGAGGGAGCTTGCGTTGTTTTTTTTTCAAATAAAGTACCTCTCTGTCTCTCTTTCTGACAAACTCCAGACAATCACTTTAATTGGGGATTTAAAAAAAAATTGTATTTCATTTGCAAAGTCAAAACTTGCTAAATAATTAAGTAGCATATTACACATAACATAGTAACACATACAATAACATGTGGGTGTGATATTGGAATTGTAACAATAGAAATTATATCAAATAAGCAAGTATTTGTTAAATTGTGGGGGGTTTTCTCACAAAACTTGCAGTTCTAAAAAGTGAAACTGTACCTATGTGTGTGTGTGTGAGTCATGGTGGGACCAGAATTTCAGCGAATCTCACATACTTTATCAGAAATGTTATTGTATATATTTTTTGCAGAGTGCAGGAGTTTGGAAAGTCACAATAACACGCTGCATTTGTATTTCAGCGGAGTGATCTTCAAGGGTACGACTATCGGGATGGCACCGCTGGAAGGAATGTGCAGCCTGGAAAACTCCGGAGGCATCAATGTGGTACGTGCTCCATCTATCACTTCTTCTGCCAAATCAATTCACAGGCTCCGTCTCCAAAGGACTTTTCTCCAGCCTGTCCTCTGTTGACGCGCTGCTTTCCCCCAGCTGACGGATCCTCTGATTTAGGCCCAGGTCTGGACCCAAAGTAGCACTCGCGGCAAATCCCCACTGGCTGACTTAAACGTTTTTACTCCTAAAGTGCATCATCTCCCCCCGTGAAACTATGTGGGAAACTATGTGTGTAACTATGTGTGTAACTATGTGTGTAACTATAAACAGACACCGTCCTGACAGAGCGATGGCAGGAATTAATGTCAATTATAAAGAAATATCGGAAATGTATAGAATATGTGTTGATGTTTTTATTCAATCAATCAATCTTTATTTGTAGCGCGCTTTTCCCTCACACAAGGCACAAATCATCACAAGTCCTTTAAAAACACAGGCTGTTTTGCACATGGTATTATTCATTCACTCCATACACGGTGGTGTTAAACTGCTACTGTAGCCACAGCTGCCCTGGGGAAGACCGACAGAGTTCAGTCCTGGTTCAGTCCTGGTTCAGTCCTGGTTCAGTCCTGGTTCAGCCCTGGTTCAGCCCTGGGCCAGCCCTGGTCCAGTCCTGGATCAGTCCTGGTTCAGTCCTGGTTCAGTCCTGGTTCAGTCCTGGTTCAGTCCTGGTTCAGTCCTGGTTCAGTCCTGGTTCAGTCCTGGTTTAGCCCTCGTTCAGTCCTGGTTCAGTCCTGGTTTAGCCCTCGTTCAGTCCTGGTTCAGTCCTGGTTTAGCCCTGTCTCAGTCTAGTTTCCGTCCGGTTTTAGTCCTGGTTCAGTCCTGGTTCAGTCCTGTTTCCATCCTGTTTCAGCCCTGGCTCAGTCCTGGCTCAGTCCTGATTCAGTCCTGGTTCAGTCCTGGTTCAGTCCTGGTTCAGTCCTGGTTCAGTCCTGGTTCAGCCCTGGTTCAGTCCTGGTTCAGTCCTGGTTCAGTCCTGTTTCCATCCTGTTTCAGCTCTGGTTCAGTCCTGGTTCAGCCCTGGTTCAGCCCTGGTTCAGTCCTGGTTCAGCCCTAGTTCAGTCCTGGTTCAGTCCTGGTTCAGCCCTGGTTCAGTCCTGGTTCAGCCCTGGTTCAGTCCTGGTTCAGTCCTGGTTCAGTCCTGGTTCAGCCCTGGTTCAGCCCTGGTTCAGCCCTGGTTAAGCCCTGGTTCAGCCCCGGTTCAGCCCCGGTTCAGTCCCGGTTCAGTCCTGGTTCAGTCCTGGTTTAAATCTTGTTTTCACAGTTTCAAGCCTTCTTCCTCTCCTGTGATCTGCCTGTGACCCAGTAGTGCTGCCGTCTCTGCAAAACGTGCACGACTCAACCTCAGGGCACACGCCGCGCTGTAAAAAGTCATTACCGTGCACTTTTTTGTAGTGTCGAACGAGAAAGTTGTGTGCCATCAGAGTGTTTTAGGAACACAGACCCTGGATTATAGAAGTCTCAGACAGGACCATGAGTTCAGTCTCTTCTCCATCTTACTTAAAAGGAAGCCGTTTTGAAATTGAAAAACAAAACAAATGAAATAACGCTGCAGAAAGATAACAGTGATCTCTCCCTGACATTAAAATCTTTCGTTACAATCAGCTCAGTGGAGAAGCTAGTTTTTCTCTACTACATGAAACGACAGTATTTGGTTCAGGACCTTTTCTGTACAGTGTGGACATTAAAGGTGCTCTGTGTAATTTTTACAGTTGTTCCAAATTAAAAAACATGATAACCAAGAACAAATATGACCTTTTTTAAGAATATGTTTTTGAATTGTTGTCATGGGATTAGAATTTGACTTATAAATGTCCATGAGGCTGGAGGACTCTCTGTGTCAATGCGCCATCTTGAAATACAGTGGTTCAAAAGGGACAAAAAGGAGTTTGAGTGGGAGTTGGGGACCACTGTCAAAGACAACATATTGTCCTTCGAACCTACCCTAGAACCGTAAATACCGCTAGATTGGAGTAAAAACTACACCTTGTACCTTTAAGAAACTCGCTAAACGGCCGACCTGGGCATCAGCTGTTGTCGGTATAAAACCGCGACCAGCTTCTTTAACCTAGTGGCTCACATCCTCATCGTCCGTAACAACAGCACAAAAACCCTCTTTCAGTCTAGCTTTAGTGAAACATGTTTTGGGCAGCGGCTTATCGGCGGCGTTCCGAAGCACGAGCGAAACAGCGGCGGCTCTTATCCACGGCGCGCAGCGTTTGAAGTTAGAAGCGTGAATAATGTCAAACGGTGTGATTTAAAGGTGAGGCAGAGGAGAGGCAGAGGAGAGGCAGAGGAGAGGCAGAGGAGAGGCAGAGGAGAGGCAGAGGAGAGCCCCACTACTGGAGGTAGTCGCTCTCTCACTCCGCTACAGTAAATGCGCACACGGCTTTGATCAGTGAGAGAGAGCTGTCAGTCACTGCGCCGGGATGAATTATGCATGTGCGCCGCAAATATATGTGAAGGGGATCCACAAGGTTTTAGAAGGTATGTGAGATGTGTAGGAGAGAGAGAAGGAGGGAGAGACTGAGAGAGGGAGAGAGACAAAGGGGGGAGAGAGAGAAAGGGGGGAGAGGGGGCAAGAGAGGGAGAGACAGAGAAAGAGAGAGAGACACGAGGGAGAGATAGAGAGAGATAAAGAGAGAGCAGGACACAGAGAGAGACTAGAGTGACAGAGACGAGAGAGAGAGGGAGAGAGAGAGTCAGACACAGAGAGACTAAGAGAGAGACTAGAGAGAGAGAGAGAGAGAGACAGAGAGCGAGACGGAGAGACTAGAGAGAGAGAAAGAGACAGAGACACAGAGATAGTCATAGAGAGACAGAGAGAGACTTAGAGAGAGACAGAGAGGGAGAGACTAGAGAGAGACACAAAGAAAGACAGAGAGAGAGAGAGAAACAGAGAGACAGAGAGAGACAGATGGAGAGAGCTTGAGTTAAAATGATAGCTGTGCGGTTTAGGCTCTGAATGTGACTTCTGGAGGGTTGAGGTTTTTATTCTTGGTTCTATCAGAAGCCGCTGCACCTTTATCCAGGTTTAATCCACTTTAAAGCTCAGTTGAGTCCCTGATTTAGACTTTTTTTACCCATTCGATTTCTACTGGAGTTGGACTGAAAGTTCTAGGCTTTGTGTGGATTCTCAACGCAGAGCCAACAGTTTTAGTTTCAGGAGTGTCTTATTGTATCTTATTGGCTTATTCATAATTCACTGGTTTGGAGACATCTCTGACTATTTTCAAGACATGTTGAATTAAAGCTGGAATACCTGACTTTCAAACCGTACTGTATATATGTCTTACAGTTTTTTTCCCTCAAAAGAGTTTGGCTTCAAGCGGTATGATTTCTATCACTTGTTTTCACGTTTCACATATTTAGATTAGCTCTTTCTAATTGAAAAGTGACTCGGCCAATCATCATTAAAAAAGCAGTTTCAGTTTTTCTTCACTTTTATCATAATTAAGGAATATGTGTTTTTTTTTAATATAAAACTGGTTCATATGACTAATAATAATTACATAAGTACAAAAATACAGTTTGTTTAAGCTTTGGGACTTTTTCTGTATCTATATGTAGTTTATTTCATTTATGTCATTATGTTTATCAAATTATCTCATATCCCAGAATGGTCCTAGACTGGCCCCAGACTGGTCCTGGACTGGCCCCAGACTGGTCCTAGACTGGTCCCAGACTGGTCCCAAACCGGTCCTAGACTGGTTCGGAGCAATCTCGGCTTGGAGAAAGTGCTAGTTACCATAGCAACACACTGTTTACCAGCAACCCTTTTGTAGATTGAAACCATTGGATCTGAGTTTACTGTGATGTTTGAAATGCGCCCGAGTGAATTGTTAGCATTTAGCATTTAGCCTAGCTTTAGCATTTTGTTTAGTTTAGCTGTATTTCAGGTATAATAACCAATTTTAGTTTGTATTTAAGCTAAAAAACAAAACAAAAACTGAAAAACCAAAGCTGTTTTTTTGGGATTCTGAGAGTGCTGCTGTTTAACCAATCCAAACGCAGTAAACACATTCTAATTCTGTGATGCGTTTCATCACCGCGTTCACGGGAGACATTCCTTGTCGTGGCGCCGCTCTCCTGACATCCCATTCAGGCCGCTCCAGAGCTGCGGAGGCGGGGTTACATCAGTGTTCTGCCAGCACACACACACACACACACACGCACAAACACACACACACACACACACACACACACACACACACACACACACACAGACTCCCAGAGGCTAATCAGGCCTGGATAAACTATTGATCCCTGTGGTTGCCTCCGTTCACAGCTGCCACTCTCTCTCTGACCACTGGACACACTGCTCCCACCCTGGATACTGGATTTTTATCTGAATTATCTGCCTTTTCTCTGAACGACGACATGAGATTATAATGGAAACGTCAGTTCTATTTAACGGAAACTAAAGAATGGGATGTAGATAGATAGATAGATAGATAGAAGGTTGTTTTATTAAGACAAAAAAGCCTTCTTAACCTTCTAAGCCTTAAACATAAGACAAAATGAACTTTTTACATTTAGATAGATAGATACTTTATTAATCACCATAGAAGAAATTCTGGTGTTCAGCAGCAGAAACACATTTGTACAAAGTAAACACATAATTCTTAAAGTTACTAACAAAAGTATCAAATGTACTCTTCATGAACATCGACTTCTCATTTCCACTACAGTCAGAATAAAAGCAGCTAAATGTTATATGTTGAGTCGGATCTACCTACAGTATATGCGCCCTCTGTGTGGGGTTTGCATGTTCTGCCTGTGCCTGCGTAGGTTTCCTCCAGGTGCTCCGGTTTCTCCTACCACTAAATAAAAACTTGCACTATACTGTAGGTCGGAATGTGACGGTCAGAGGCTTTGAGTGTTTGGCGTCTTGCTTCTGTTAAAAACGAGTGTAAGGAGCTTTGTGTGACCTTTTTTATTTTATTATATTTATTTATTTATCTTATTTTACTTATTTTATTTATTTTATTTATTTTATTTATTTTATTTTTTTATTTGGATGGGAATGTATTAATGAACAGCAGTAGCTTGGCCTTATCCATCCGTCTGGGTCTGATTTTAGTGGCTGCAGCTACCTCGGTTGAATCCCCTCCGACCAATCGGGGGAGGCGGGTGTTGTAGGGAGGTGCCAGAGTTTGCGCCAAATTTGCTGGTTGTAGTTTTGGCAAATATGGAGAAATTGAAGCAGAATGTTTAGCAAATTTCACTGCTGGCAAAGATGTTGAGGCTCTACTCCACACAGGCTTCGTTAGTGGCAAAGGAAATGGCTAAAGCTAGGCTAAATTCTAAAGCTATGCTAAATGCTAAATGCCTCACTCACTCGTGCGCATTACAAACGTCACAATAAACTCAGATCCAATCGTTTCAATCTGCAAAAGGCGTTAACCCCTTCCACCTGTTAACGGAGCTCAATGGAGCAAATCCAGACCTTAGTACGAAATGAAAAGAGTACAATGGTGTGGTAAGACTAGGCTAGAACACTTTTTGTTGTTCATTTCCATCTGTAGTCCCACAGTCGCTCTCACAAACACACACTTACTCAACCCTCACCTATTGTACATGTTTTTAGTGGTCTGTGAAATGCGCTATACAAATAAGAATGACTCACATACTCTTTGCACACAGCAGATGTGCTTGTTGGAGCTGTAGGTGTTTCTTCTCTCCACATTTCACGCCAACGGTCCTGTCCAATAACTTGTTTTTGTTTTTAAAATAAAGCAAATTGACATATTTTTGCATAAACATGTTTTGACCAATTGGTGCTTGTGTGAAAATAGCAAAATACAAACTCAAGCAAAGTTCAAATAAGAAACCATTCAGACTCAAAGAAATTGTTTTTTTAAAACAATGAAGAAAAATTTATTAATTTTGTTGCTGACATGTTGGATAAAAGTTGGAAAATATAAGTGACAGGCATCAGTTGTTTTGAAGCTGCAGCTGCCCTAGATTCCACACTGCTTTACAACCAGCACATCCCAAAACTACTCTAGTTTCTTACGTGGTCTTCCCGTCTCCGCAGGACCACTCGGAGGTGTCCATCGGAGCTGCCGCCACCATGGCCCACGAGATCGGACACAACTTTGGGATGAGCCACGACCACGACGGCTGCTGCGTGGAGGCGACGGCGGAGCAGGGAGGCTGTGTCATGGCCGCCGCCACGGGGTAGAGGACCGCACCACACTGTCCCTGCACCTGGGCAATACATCCTCATCAATACTATACTACTATACTATAGATATAAGTATAGATGTATCGATGTTTCATAATAATAATAATAATAATGCATCGGTTTTAAATAGCGCTTTTTTTGGACACTCAAAGGTTCTTCACGTGTCATTATTCATTCACTCCATAGAGTACTACTGTAGCCACAGCTGCCCTGGGGCACACTGACAGAAGTGAGGCAACAAATACAGTATGTGCCATTGGCCCCTCTGACCGCCACCAACCATTCACACACACCAGACTCATTCTAGGCAATGGGGGTGAAGTGTCTTGCCTAAGGACACAACGGCCCCTAGTTAAAGGTATATAGGAGGTTTTTTTCCCAATTTTATGTAAAGTCTCCTTTTAAAAAATAAAAAATAAAAAAAATACTCTCTGGTCTTGTTTGACGAGCACTTATCACCCGAGTGACTGACATTTAGGAGGACCAATAGGCTTGATGATCCACCCGGAAGTAGAAAATCCTGCTATGTACCTTTAAGAAGAAGCATTAGAGCTACACTACACAAAAATGATCGGTAATTATTGTGTGAATTGCATGAATATATACAATATAAGTAGCTGCTATGTTTCGTAGCTAGCTGTAGATGCTTCAATATCAACAATTCAATTTAATTTATTCTTGTACAGCCCTAAATCTCAACAGTACTTTTCTCAGAGGACTTTACAAAACCGTTGAATTCGCCAACAACAGATCGGAGAATCAGTTCAAACACAAGAAAAAAACACATAGAGCCATTTGTCCAAAAGGGGCAGATGACCAATGTACACAAATGTCCATAAAAGTCATGTTAGCTAATTGTCGAACAAAATGCGTCATAAAAATTGAGTTTTAAATTGAATGTTTTGCTCAGATCTCCCATGCTTCATCACTGACGTCTGTTGATGACTGAATAAACAGGACTGGGTTAAGTGTATGTTTGATTAGGAAGCTGCATTCCATAATAAATGTCATCAAAGGCTGCTCTATTTACCGCACAGTGCATTATCAGTTCAACAAAGTCAGATTTATGAATAATCTGCCAAAAGTCCACACTCCATGTATTATTAATGCAGAGCCAGAGCCCACCGTGTTTTGACAACTCTTTTTCCTCTCTTCATTTCCCCCGACTATAGAATCATAAAAGTCTGTCTTTTACTGCAGGCATTAGTCAGAATGACAAATGGCTGCTAACAGTTCCCTGTACTGTATGGATCGGTTTGCCTCGCTGTGTTCCATCAGCGCCCGCACTAACGGCACAAGGTGGCTCAAAACAAATAAAAATAACATAAGAACTTCAAGGACTTGTAGGTGTTCTGTCTGTATGTTATGTTTTTTAGTTTTTACCCGGTTACTACATTTGTCCCGTCTGCAAGCGCTTGTGCGTTTTAATTTTATTAATTTATTTTTTCAATATGGGTGAAACAATAACAACAGACAAAGTGCTAATTTTCAATCCAAATCACTTTATTAATATGGCACATTTTATAAAACACGCATCCAAAGCGATGCACGGATAAATGTAACACATCCAAAAATATATAATTCTGCTAGCTTTACATAAAAACAATAAAATAATAATAATGATGAACATTGTGAAGCGCTTTGGGTGACCTTGGTCTGTAAAATGCGCTATATAAATAAACAGTACTTACTTACTTACTAATAATAATTGAAATATAATAAAACACAGTCAAATAAAAACAATTACAAATTAAATTTAAAAATAAATACAATGAAACAATAAAATGTATATATAACAATATAAAAATTAAAATTAAATTAAAACAATTCAAATAAAATACAAAAAAATTAAAAATAAAATTAAAATAACAATTAACATTAAATATAAAAACATTAAATTAAATTAAAACTATTAAAATAAAACATAAAAAGTAAAATAAATACAATATAATGAATAAAGAAAAAAAGACAATAAAATAAATAAAATACAAACCGGCAACGGATGAAGCGGAGGAAAACGGACGGACGGACAAAAAACAATTTAAATAAGAGCAATAAAAATAAATAAAATAAAAACAAAAAATATAAAAATAAAAGCATTTATCTATATACAAAATCAACACTAGTCCACGGGGGGCATTTACAGATAAAACACATTTCAAAGAATTGCAATACAATTTACATGTCTGGATCCTAACCACAGTTTGTGCTCATGTTAGTCTGTAGTTTTAGCCCAGTGGGGAGAGAGACCCACAGTTTAACCCTCCTAAAGTAGAAGCTGGAGTGTCCAAAAGATGATGTGTGTGTTATGTATTGTATGTTTGTTTGTACATATTGTGAGTGTATGTTTGGTGACTGTGTTGTCTGAAGTAAAAAAAAAGTTAAACAAAACAAAAAATCCAGTCTGGTCTCACCAACTTGTCTCCTCCTCCTCAGGCACCCGTTTCCCCGGGTCTTCAGCCGCTGCAGCAAGCGAGACCTGGACAGCTACTTCCAGAAGGGAGGGGGGATGTGCCTCTACAACATGCCCAACATGAAGGACCTGGTGGGGGGCAAGAAGTGCGGCAACGGCTTTGTGGAGGAAGGAGAGGAGTGCGACTGTGGGGAGCCCGATGTGAGTGGATCAACTGAATACTTGTATAATAATGTGTCATGAGGCGGACTCCAAAGGCTTTGCTAGTCCAGGGTTCCATTTCCAGAGTGAGTACACTGCAAAAAGTGATGGAAAATTAGTTTAAAAAAGCGTTATATTCATCACCTTAATTTGAGCACATTTTGACTGCCGTAAAACAAGATTTGCCAACAGGACAGAGCAAAATGAGCTTGTTTTAAAAATATACAAGAAATGTCTCCCTTGGAATGAGAAAATAAAGCAATAGCTCTTGAAATGAGACTAAATGTCTCTCTCCCCTTGGTCTCACTCTGGTCTCTCTGGTCTCTCTTTGGTCGCTCTCTGGTCTCAGTCTCTAGTCTCTACCTGGTCTCTCTCTGCTCTCTCTCTGGTCTCAGTCTCTGGTCTCAATCTCTGGTCTCTCCCTGGTCTCTCTCTGCTCTCTCTCTGGTCTCAGTCTCTGGTCTCAGTGTCTGGTCTCTCTCTTGTCTCTTTCTCTCCCTCTCTGTATCTCTCTCTGGTCTCAGTCTCTGGTCTCTCTTGTCTCTCTCTGGTTTCAGTCTCTGGTCTCTCTTTCTCTCTTGTCTCTCTCTGGTCTCAGTCTCTGGTCTCTCTCTAGGCCTCTCTCTCTGGTCTCTCTCGCTCTGGTCTCTCCCTCTCGCACTGGTCTCTCTCTCTGGTCTCTCTCTCTCTCTGAAAATAACAGTTCTTGAAAAAAGTCTAAATGGCTTTGTCCCGTTGGCAAATCATGTTTTAAGTCAGAACATACTCACATTAAACTAAAAACCTCTCAATTCAAGCATATATTATAATTTTTTCCAGTGTGAGGCCTGTCTTTTACAAGTGCAGGCCCAGAAATTGATCCGAGGATCAAAAGACACGTGTTTTGTTGGATGTGGGGATGAGATACCTTGCTGCTAGATCAATGCCCTCCTTCAGAGCTGCGTCACAGGGTACATTCAGACACGGCCGGACCTCACACCGGTCGGTTTAAAGCAGCTGGACTTATCGACCCGCCGCCATTGACTGTTTCTTATACAGTATCTGTGTATCGTATGGAGCCACATGGAGCTGTCGATGCAAATGGCACACGGCCCATACCAGCACTTTACCAGCGGCTTAACACTTTAATGCAGAAGATTGTATTAAGATTGTGTGAGTACATGCTGGACTATATATACAGCCATCTACACTGCAAAAATTGGTGAAAAATATGTCAAAAATTGCTCGAAGTTGGCTATTTTAGCTTAGAGCACTTTTTGACTGAGTTAAAACAAGATTTGCCAATGGGACAAAGCTAAATAATCTGGTGTGTAAAATAAATGTCACTTGGAATGAGAAAATAAAGCAACAGTTCTTGAAATACGACAAAATGGCTTTGTCCCGTTGGCAAATCTTGTTTTAACACTGTCAGAATGTGCTCAAATTAAGATTTTGCAGTGTATAAACCGCACCGGCTAATTTTGAAAAGTGCATTAAGTATCACATAACAATATTAAAACCGGCTTTAATATTGTTATGTGATACTCAACCAAAGCACAAGGGAAGGTTCAAACAATTCATCCATGAATAAATTAGCTGACAATTATTTCAATAATGGATAAAGTCAAAACAAATCAGTTGAATTTGGGAAAATGTCTCTCGAGTTGAGTTTATTTTGGAGTATCTTTGGTCTTGTTGTCAGCAGCAGCATTATTCTCTCAGTCGGAAATCTGCTGTTTTTCATCATTTACATAAACTGTCAGAATGTGTTAATGATGCATCGGTTTTATGCAGCGCTCTTTTGGTCACTCACAGACGCTTACATTTCATCACTTCCACAGTACCATAATAGAAAAATGTTACTATAGATTACCCCCACACGTGCTTCACAGCAAGAAGGTTCTGGGTTTGAGTCTGTGTGGAGTTTGCCCAATCGCCCTGTTCATGCTGATATTTAACTACAGACGAACCTGGACAAAATCCCACACACAAACAAACATACAGTAGTTCAGGCATTCTTTTTACTTGTTGCCCAGTCCAAGAAGAAAATGTCCTCACAGAGAGAGAGCACAGAACTCAGAACAGATCGTACCTTGCTTTTGGTTGACCAGACACACCTTCATATGCACAGAAGAACCAACAGAACAAAGGGACAAAGACAAGACCAAGACAAGACCTTCCTTATTAACATGTTTAGATGCTTCCCACGCTTCCTCCTGGAAAAATGGATTAAGATACAAAACCCCCTTCGTCCAGACAAAGGTGAATTAAAATGCAACTATTTCAGTATACAATATATTTCAGCCACATATGACTCATTAAAATGATAGCTCACAAACAACATTCCAATAACAGTTTCCTCTGGGTGTTCCGGTTTTCCCTACCCCAAAAAATATGTAGATTAGGTCTGGCTCACCTGTATGGCAACCCTCATGTGTAGAGTCAAGATTTCTTATTTACTAGATTAGATTAGATTAAATTAGACAACTTTATTCAATCCCCCAGGGGCCAAATACAGTACAAACAAAAATACACTGATGAAAGTAATATTACAGCACAGTAACTATTCAGACAATCAAGTTAAAAAGCACCAATACTGGGATACTGGATTTACAATTATATTATATTGTTCAGGCCTGGAAACACTTGTGAACACTTGCACTTTAAAGTAGATGTTACTTTGAAATAGATTGAGTTTCTTCATTCCACTTTCCCTGAGGTCAAAGGAGGAAATGCAGAATTGCTCTAATGGAACGTATCCTCCAAAACCCAAGTCAGAAAAATCAATACCAGTCCTTCCTTTTGTTGCTGACTTTGCTCCTTTGTTTCCCACGTGTCAAATTTGCGTCACTCAAACCTCACCTGCTCCTCTCCGTGAAGGACTTTCGGGCTAATCTTCCCCAAGTTTCCACAGCGTTTTGCACCAGTGTTTTCGCCGGTGAGTTAAGTGAAGCTGCCTCAGTTCAAGCGGAAACACAAATTGAAAACAGTGGAAGCAAATTGGCGTCTGACAGGCGTCTGACAGGCGTCTGAGCGGAGCCTTGTTTGTTTTGACTCGTGGTACAGCAGCTCTGACAGACGAGCAGCGACGCGCCACCTGCTCTGGCATCGCGAACCAGACCTCACCTTGTCACACGTGAGGTGCATGGTAAACGTACAGCTCTGCGGTGTGTGTCCGATCTGGCAGCTTAGTGCCGCTGTGAGATTCAAAGCTTTTCAGACGAGGAGATGGGAGTTTGCTTCACGGAGGAGGGACGTAAGGTTTCTGACTTTGTGCTGGTAATGAATTCATTTGTTGGTTCATTTTTGACAGTGGCTCAGTTGGTAGAGCCTGAAGGCCGTGGGTTTCGAGCCCACCACGAGACCTTTTCCATTGACTTGATGTTGTTGTGTTAGTGAGCAAGACACTTAACCCAACTAAAAGTCCCCACTTAACCGCACTAAAAGATCAAGGCTCCTGTGGACTCACCACCTGCTGGAGGATCAGTGAGGGGAGGTATGTGTATTAGGTGTAGCTCTGACTGCCACCGCCCCGACCCAGAAATGGATGAAGGGGAAGAAGATGGATGGATGGGTTCATTTTCATCCCCTTTTATTAACCCATTTCCAGGTTGGGGGGAGGCTGAATCCAAGTAATCACCCAACTCTCACAGTACCAGCCCCTCACTGGTCCTCCACCTCCTTCACATTCAGCACATTCTGTCTTAAAACAAGATTCCCCAAAGGGACAAAGCCATTTACTCTTATTTCAAGAACTGTTTCTTTATTTTCTCATTCCAAGGGAGACATATCTTTTTAAAGCAAGATTTTTGTTTCCTATCCCATTGGCAAATCTTAAGGCAGACAAAATATGCTCAAATTAAAAAACATTTGGGACCAATCAGGGAGCTGTGGAGGTGAGGATGGGCGGGTCATAACAGTTTTCAAAAACAAGTGGTGGTGTATAAAGGATTACTACTGTATGAGACACGTTCAGAGTGTGTAGCTTTGAACTGAAAAACAAAATTCTGAAGAAAATCCACTGTAACTATGGCTCATAGTGGAATGTGAACTTTTAATGATCTTGGGTTTTCTTTTTTTCAGGAGTGCACCAATGATTGTTGCAACGCTAACAACTGCACGCTGAAGGAGGAGGCTCAGTGTGCGCACGGCGTCTGCTGCGAGGGCTGCAAGGTTAACACACACACACACACACACACGCGACACACACACACGACACATCTTTGACAACACTGCTAACAATCATAAAAAATCATTTCATAATTGCTTGTCATTTTTATCTTCACTTGAGCACATTCTGACTGTCAGCAATTTAGTCTTTTTTTATTGTTCTGAGAGGGAGACGTATCTAACACAATCTTTCTTTTTTGACGGAGCATCTTTTGATTGTTTTGTTTTATGCAATTTGTATGTTTTTTTTATTAACCCCTAGTTTTATTTTCAATTAATAATAATAATAATGCACCGGTTTTATAAAGCCTTTTTTTGGACACTCATTTTGAAGGTATATAGGGTTTTCCCGATTTTAGGAAAGAAACGCCCTCTCCACTTTTAGAACAAGACTCTCTGGTATTATTTGAGGAGCACGTATCACCAGAATGATTGACAGTTAGGAGGACCAGATAATCTTGATGATCCACCTGGAAGCAGAAAATCCTCCTTCATACCTTTATGTTCCAAGCTTCAAGTCGATGGTTGAGGAAACTATTAAACTATTAAACCATTGATATTCATCTTTCCAAATTTGGGCAGTTTTTGAGTTATTTTCAATAGATTGCTGCTTACTTTGACATGTTCCTTACATACAGAGGCAGTAGAGACAGACATGTTTACACAGTCCTTTACACAGCGGCTTCAGATCGAACCAACCACCTGTCAGTCATGGTCTCCGTGACGACGGCGCACACACTTCACTCATGTCTTTGATTTCCTCTCATCTCCTTCAGAAGAACACGCAGCGGTGAACAGAGCTTCCATTGTGCTCCACTTTACACACTCCTCTACGCTGCAGCCTTTGTTCTGTGCTCAGATGTTTTACCTCGGTCGATCTGAGGCTGTGAGCAAACACCATATGTGCCAAAATATTTTTTCTCTTCCTGGTACTTTTTTATAGGGCCGGGATGCGATAAAAAAACAAAAATCTATGTGATATTACCCCCTGATTCTTACTATGCCTTACTCTTTGACTGTTTGCACCGAGAGCTAAAGCTTCCTGTGGCAATAAAAATGATTCAGATTCTGATAAAATATGCAGTAATGCTTGAATTAAGTGTTTTTTTTTATCGTAATTCAAGTACATTCTGTCTTAAAACTAGATTTGAAAATGTGACAAAGCCATTTATTTATTATTTTCTCATTTCAAGGAAGATATTTCTTGTATCTTTTTATTTGAATTTTTTTTGTCTCTAATTCTGCTTATTGTCCCATTTTGCCTAAAAGAAAGAAGTTGGGAATCTTTTTTCAAGGCAGTCAAAATGTGCTAAAATCAATTTACATTTCGCCAAATTTTAGCTATTTTTGAACTATTTTTCATTGTTTTTTCCAGTGTATTTATGAGGCCATTTTTGATTTAGATGCTTTTACATGATTGTGATTTGAAAGTTACGTACCCAAGCTTTAACCGCTTCACTTCTTTTTTTCAACCACTGGTAAAACACTGCAATCACACACTTACTATTAATCGCTTTTTGCAGTGTATTAAGAGTTTCCTGCACTTCCTGTATCATCACATTCTAACTGTGTCTCTCTCTGTGTGTGTGTGTGTGTGTGTGTGTGTGTGTGTGTGTTAGTTGAAGCAGGCTGGGACCATGTGCCGGGGCCCTGCTGGTGCCTGTGACCTCCCAGAGTACTGCACCGGGGCGTCTCCGTACTGCCCCTCTAACGTGTACCTGCTGGACGGCTCCTCCTGTCAGTACGGAGTGGCCTACTGCTATAACGGCATGTGCCTGACCCACGAGCAGCAGTGTCTGCAGCTGTGGGGATACGGTACGACGAATGTTTGGCATTGTCTCAAACCTGTAATTGTCACACAGTGGGGACATTTCAGTGTTGCATCACAAGTTACAGACGATAGGAATGAGGAGCACACAGCACAAGATAAATGAACAATAACTCATTTATCTCTCTGGTTTCTCTTTCTGGTCTCTCTCTATCTCACTCTCTGTTCTCTCTCTTGTCTCTCTCTCTCTCTCTGGTCTCTCTCTCTCTGGTCTCTCTCACTCTCTGGTCTCTCTTTATTGTTTCTCTCTCTCTCTCTCTCTCTCTCTCTCTGGTCTCTCTCTGGTCTCTCTCACTCTCTGATCTCTCTCTGGTCTCTCTCTCTCTCTCTGGTCTCTCTCTCTCTGGTCTCTCTCACTCTCTGGTCTCTCTTTATGGTTTCTCTCTCTCTCTCTCTCTCTGGTCTCTCTCACTCTCTGATCTCTCTCTGGTCTCTCTCTCTCTCTCTGGTCTCTCTCACTCTCTGGTTTCTCTTTCTGGTCTCTCTCTATCTCACTCTCTGTTCTCTCTCTTGTCTCTCTCTCTCTCTTTATGGTTTCTCTCTCTCTCTCTCTCTGGTCTCTCTCTGGTCTCTCTCTGGTCTCTTTAACTCTCTTATCTCTCTCTAGTTTCTCTCTCTCTCTCTGGTCTCTCTCACTCTGATCTCTCTCTAGTTTCTCTCTCTCTCTCTCTGATCTCTCTCTAGTCTCTCTCTCTCTCTCCGGTCTCTCTCTCTGATCTCTCTCTCTCTCTGGTCTCTCTCACTCTCTGATCTCTCTCTAGTTTCTCTCTCTCTCTCTCTGATCTCTCTCTAGTCTCTCTCTCTCTCTGGTCTCTCTCTCTCTCTCTCTGGTCCCTCGCACTCTCTGATCTCTCTCTAGTTTCTCTCTCTCTCTCTCTCTCTGATCTCTCTCTAGTCTCTCTCTCTCTCTCCGGTCTCTCTCTCTGATCTCTCTGGTCTCTCTCACTCTCTGATCTCTCTCTAGTTTCTCTCTCTCTCTCTCTCTTTCTCTCTCTAGTTCCTCTCTCTCTCTCTCTGATCTCTCTCTAGTCTCTCTCTCTCTCTCTGGTCCCTCTCACTCTCTGATCTCTCTCTAGTTTCTCTCTCTCTCTCTCTCTCTCTCTCTCTGATCTCTCTCTCTCTCTGGTCTCTCTCACTCTCTGATCTCTCTCTAGTTTTTCTCTCTCTCTCACTCTGGTCTCTCTCACTCTCTGATCTCTCTCTAGTTTCTCTCTCTCTCTCTCTGATCTCTCTCTAGTCTCTCTCTCTCTCTCTGGTCTCTCTCTCTCTCTCTCTGGTCCCTCTCACTCTCTGATCTCTCTCTAGTTTCTCTCTCTCTCTCTCTCTCTCTCTCTGGTCTCTCTCTCTCTCTCTCTGATCTCTCTCTGGTCTCTCTCTGGTCTCTCTTTCAAATGCATATACCCATACCGTTGTTATTTAAAACTGGGGCATCAAACTTGTACTTTTCTTCCACATATTTTTTGTCCAACAGAGAGAGTCTTGAAGTAACATGAACCAATCAGGCCATAACATACTGTCTTTATCTTATTAGAATCTTATCAGAGCCTTGTGAGTCACTATTTAACTCTTTGGGCTGCAAGCTGATTGGCTGAAGTGCTGGTGGTCCTCCGTTTTTAACATTCAGTCTGAAAAAGTTGATGAAAAGATGTGACAGAGGCTAAAAAATGACATGCATGTGAGAGAACCAACCAGATTTGAGGACGAGAAACTATTAGATGCTGTTAGACCAGGGGTGTCAAACTCATTTTGGTCCAGGGGCCACATACAACCTAATCTGATCTCAAGTGGGCCGGACCAGGAGATGCTCTACAAAAATATCCAAAAACGGTACAAAGTCCAACTTTTTGTGCACATAAACACATTTATTTAAAACTTCCTTTAAAACACTATCCTTTAATACTCAGTTTTCTGTTACAAACTTAAATGTAACAGTGAGTTTTCCATAGTGCAAATAATGTAATGTATTTACAATATTACATTGAAAATGGTATTTCACAATATGTATATTAATATTTGTATGTTAGCTTTGTTTTAAGGCTCATTACAGAGAAAACTTGCTCACAAAGGTAAAGTAGACAGAAAAAAGCACTTTAACACAGCACCTCAGCTTAACCATCTTCAGTGTGGTAAGGTCCATGGTTATGTTATTATCACATTAACCATCTTCAGTGTGGTCAGGTCCATGGTTATGTTATTATCACATTAACCATCTTCAGTGTGGTCAGGTCCATGGTTATGTTATTATCACATTAACCATCTTCAGTGTGGTAAGGTCCATGGTTATGTTATTATCACATTAACCATCTTCAGTGTGGTAAGGTCCATGGTTATGTTATTATCACATTAACCATCTTCAGTGTGGTAAGGTCCATGGTTATGTTATTATCACATTAACCATCTTCAGTGTGGTCAGGTCCATGGTTATGTTATTATCACATTAACCATCTTCAGTGTGGTCAGGTCCATGGTTATGTTATTATCACATTAACCATCTTCAGTGTGGTAAGGTCCATGGTTATGTTATTATCACATTAACCATCTTCAGTGTGGTAAGGTCCATGGTTATGTTATTATCACATTAACCATCTTCAGTGTGGTAAGGTCCATGGTTATGTTATTATCACATTAACCATCTTCAGTGTGGTCAGGTCCATGGTTATGTTATTATCACATTAACCATCTTCAGTAAGGTCCATGGTTATGTTATTATCACATTAACCATCTTCAGTGTGGTAAGGTCCATGGTTATGTTATTATCACATTAACCATCTTCAGTGTGGTAAGGTCCATGGTTATGTTATTATCACATTAACCATCTTCAGTGTGGTAAGGTCCATGGTTATGTTATTATCACATTAACCATCTTCAGTGTGGTCAGGTCCATGGTTATGTTATTATCACATTAACCATCTTCAGTAAGGTCCATGGTTATGTTATTATCACATTAACCATCTTCAGTGTGGTCAGGTCCATGGTTATGTTATTATCACATTAACCATCTTCAGTAAGGTCCATGGTTATGTTATTATCACATTAACCATCTTCAGTGTGGTAAGGTCCATGGTTATGTTATTATCACATTAACCATCTTCAGTGTGGTAAGGTCCATGGTTATGTTATTATCACATTAACCATCTTCAGTGTGGTCAGGTCCATGGTTATGTTATTATCACAATAACCATCTTCAGTGTGGTACGGTCCATGGTTATGTTATTATCACAATAACCATCTTCAGTGTGTAAGGTCCATGGTTATGTTATTATCACATTAACCATCTTCAGTGTGGTCAGGTCCATGGTTATGTTATTATCACAATAACCATCTTCAGTGTGGTACGGTCCATGGTTATGTTATTATCACAATAACCATCTTCAGTGTGTAAGGTCCATGGTTATGTTATTATCACAATAACCATCTTCAGTGTGGTACGGTCCATGGTTATGTTATTATCACATTAACCATCTTCAGTGTGGTCAGGTCCATGGTTATGTTATTATCACATTAACCATCTTCAGTAAGGTCCATGGTTATGTTATTATCACATTAACCATCTTCAGTGTGGTCAGGTCCATGGTTATGTTATTATCACATTAACCATCTTCAGTGTGGTACAGTCCATGGTTATGTTATTATCACAGACTCTCTGGGCGGCACGGTGGCTGAGTGGATAGCACTCTCGCCTCTCAGCAAGAAGGTCCTGGGTTCGAATCCCGGTCGGACCAGGGCCTTTCTGAGTGGAGTTTGCATGTTCTCCCCGTGTCTGCGTAGGTTTCCTCCGGGTACTCCGGTTTCCCCTACCACTAAAAATATGTCCAATAGTTCTGGCATGCGCCTCCTGTACTGGCGACCGCGCTCCCATCTCTGTGTGGAGTGAGAGACAAATGCCCAAAAATTAACAATTGTAAACCGCTTTGAGACTCAGATCTGCAGTGAAAAGGCGGTATATAAATAAATACTTACTTACAGAGAAAGCATCAAACTGACCATGATTCCGTTGAAATGAAAAAAACAACTTCCATAACGTGATCCATTCTTAACGACTGCAGCAGTGTCTCTGTGTAAAACACAGTCAAATGTCCAAAAATCATCACCTCCATTTGCAGCTTTGTCACTACACCTGTTTTTACCATCGGTACCAGTCCACACTGTCCAACACACCAGCAACAACAGCAGAACCAGCAGCAGCACCAGCAGCAGCGCTCAAAACTCCTCTGATAGTTTCAGTAACACCACAAATGAATATGTGACATCAGTAACATCAGTCTCTTATCGATGGCAACATGTTGGTAAAAGCGAGTGGTTTCTCAGACCATGTCTGCAGCCTGTGAGAGTTTTAACAAACTCTCTCTCACTGTGCGGCTGCGATGCTAATGCTAATGTTGTTAGCACAGGTAGCTTCCCTTCACAACAGCAGAACTAACCTCTCGCTCTGGGCACAAACAGACTGCTGTGTCTTCAGGGCCAGACAGGTTTATCTTCTGTTTTCTCAATTCTCCGCTCAAAGTGCCGTATTTTTCGCCGAGTCTTGTAGTTTAAGATGTTATTCCTTCAGCACCGCTCTGGTGGAGCCACTACAGACGCACTGGACTCACCCCTGAGCGCGGCGCTGCGGCGTCGCGTCGCGGAGCCTCGCGTCGCCTCGCGTCGCGGAGCGGCTTTTTAAAATGTATTATTATTATATTTTTACATAAATGAGCCGCGGGCCGTGTCAAATCTCTTGGCGGGCCGGTTCCGGCCCGCGGGCCGTATGAATGACACCCCTGTGTTAGACCCTTTACATGATTTGGGTTTGAAAGTTACGTACCCGAGCTTTAACCGATTCTTTCAATCACTGGAAAAAACACTGTAATTACACATGTTTTATCTCATCTGTTCCTCTTTTACCTGAGAAAAGGAGCAAAGCAGATGGAAATGCATGCTAATTTTCTCATTCATGTTGGCTGAATGTTTTGGGAATGAAGCCACAGCAGGGTTTGTTTTTATATATTGCAGAATGATAAAACTAAAATAAAACAAGATATATTTGCTTGTCCCATTGGCAAATCTTGAGCTGAAATTAAGATACATTTCACCATATTTTAGCATATTTTTAACATATTTTTCATTGCTTTTGGCAGTGTATTTATGAGACCGGTTTTGAGACGGATGCTTTACGTGATTGTGGTCTGAAAGTTACGTACCCAAGCTTTAACCGCTTCACTTCTTCTTTAAACCACTGGCAAAACACTGCAATCACACATGTTGTATCTCATCTTTTCCTCTTCTAACTGGGAACAGGAGTAAAACAGATGGATATGCTAACATTTCATTTCTCATTCATGTCGGCTGAATGTTTGAGAGGGTTTTTTATACATTACAGAATAATAAAACTTAAAACATAGAGAAATAGACGCACACCAGTCTATGAGGGTAACAGCAGATGAAGCTACAGAACCAGCCTCATAATCTGGAGGATGTGCTACAGTTTGATTAATTCACATGAAGTGGGAATAGTCTGTCACAATAGACGTCCATCAAAGACAAGAGCGCGAGAAAGAGAACGCTCCACTTAAAAAGTCTGACAATGTTAGCACCGAGGCTCCGCAGAACAAGCTACATGTTGACTTTGAATAGGCTGGTGTCGTGTGTGTGTGTGTGTGTGTTTTACATAAGTGATGTGTGAGAGAGAGCGATAGACGAGAGACGAGGCCGCTGTGTTTCATCTGACGGTTAAAAACAGAACAGAGACGACACATGGGAGACGGAGACGGGATTATTAACTCCGGCTCTCACTGTGAAGGGACTGGGCTCCGCAAATACAAAGCATCATTTACACAGTAATGATTCATTTAACTATGATTGGAAGAAAAGATGCGATATGTTTGCCCGACAGACGTCATGTGGGAAGGGGTACATTTACACAAAACAAATAAACTCCTTCTCACTAGTTTCCACTTGTGCTGTATGTGTTTTTGGCATATTTGAGACTTCCCCGAGGCAGATTTCAGCTATTGTATTGCAAACGAACCCAGATCTTTTGTTCGTCTGGATGCGGGTCATATAAATAAGTAATTCATTTATACTTAAAGTAGCAGTTTGTAAGATTTGTATGTCAAGTCATCATTAAATGGCCCTAATATGTGCAAAGGCAATTATAAAGCTGCTCTTTTCGAATACTTCTTTAACTGATTACATTAGTTCAGCTGAGATGTTTTACAATTAGTTTTACAGCCCGTAAATCTTGTTATTGTTTACACACAACAGACTCATTCTAGGCAATGGGGGTGAAGTGTCTTGCCTAAGGACACAACAGCAGTTTGGCACTTTACAGCCGCAGCCGCCCCACTGTGGCATCTGGTGTTCCCCGAGGTTAAGTGCCTTGCCAAAAGCACAACGACAGTAGACATCAGAGGGCTCGAACCCACGACCTTCAGGCTCAAAGACCAATGCTCTACCAACTGAGCCACTGTCACCCCAGAAAAAAACTGTGCAAGACTACCCCAGTGTGCACCAGCTGTGTTTAAACAGTTTGATTCTCGTTTTCGTGTTGGCAAATTCAACGGTTTTGTTAAAGGAGCTATACCCGCAAGGTTTTTTTGGCCCATGGAGCCATCTAGATTCTGACACGTATGCAAACATTAGCATTAGCACAACTTCTTGTAAGCTTTCTCCTTTGATAATTTTTTCGCTTTAGTTCCCTCTTCCTCACTGTTGCTGTGTCTGCAGTTACAGCCAGAGGAGCTATAGCCGCTATCAGCTGCCATGCTGCTGTGTTTACCTCGTAGATCCATGGTTTACCTGCGCTGTAGACGCTAGAGGAGGGGTGGCCTGTTTGTAAGTGAGTGTGATTGGAGGAGAGCTAGAGTCACGCTAAGTGTCTACTTATATAGCTTTTTTGAGTCCTCCGAGATGATTACTGTTGTGATTTAGGGCTATGCAAGAATATTTTTTGTTGAATAGATAGATAGATAGATAGATACTTTCTATTAATCCCTGTAGAAGAAATTCAGGCGTCCAGCAGCAGAAACACATCCGTCCATACAAACAAATACACACTTCATCATTATCATCACCATCATTACCATTAAAAGTCACCTTACAGAACCTTTCTCTCCAGGTTTATAATAATCTCTGTACTGTCCTCCCTTGAACGCAGTTGGCCCGGAACATTGTGTTGCCGGAGCTGGTCTCAGAACCAGCGCGTGCTCTGTGCTAATGGCTTCTGTTTGTGGTTCCAGGAGCGCGACCAGCCCACGACGCCTGCTTTGAAGACGTCAACGCAGCGGGGAACGCGTTTGGAAACTGTGGGAAAGACGAACACGGCAACTATGTGAAGTGTGATAAAAGGTGAGGTCTTATTAGCGGCACACGAGACGCGGAACTCTCTGGAAATGTGGTTTGGTGATGTGCAGGATGAGGATTGTGAGGAGGTATGTATCGTCTCATATGAAACTGATTCATACATGAACAAGGTGACACTTTAGATTAGCCCTCACTAATTAACAGATTATTAAGTGCTAATAAGTGCTAACCCACATGGGAAAGTGTTAATAGTTAGTTAGCTTTTGAGTAAGGCCATGTAAGATTTCAATTACATTTTTCAATGAAATGTATTAGAAATGTGTAGACTCAGGCTGTAGAACCAGGACTCAGGCTGTAAATTCAGGACTGAGGCTGTAGATCCAGGACTGAGGCTGTAGATCCAGTACTGAGGCTGTAGATCCAGGACTGAGGCTGTAGATCCAGGACTGAGGCTGTAGATCCAGTACTGAGGCTGTAGATCCAGGACTGAGGCTGTAGATCCAGGACTGAGACTGTAGATCCAGGACTGAGGCTGTAGATCCAGGACTGAGGCTGTAGATCCAGGACTGAGGCTGTAGATCCAGGACTGAGGCTGTAGATCCAGGACTGAGGCTGTAGATCCAGTACTGAGGCTGTAGATCCAGGACTGAGGCTGTAGATCCAGGACTGAGACTGTAGATCCAGGACTGAGGCTGTAGATCCAGGACTGAGACTGTAGATCCAGGACTGAGGCTGTAGATCCAGGACTGAGACTGTAGATCCAGGACTGAGACTGTAGAACCAGGACTGAGACTGTAGAACCAGGACGAGGACAGACACGCTGCAAGACTGAGGCAGGGGTGCAGATAGAGGACGCCGGGTTCAGGGGTCACAGCATCATCAAGAATGAAACAGACAACACAACAGCAGGTTAATAGCAATGAACAGACTACAGCCGAAGTCATAATGATGATGGATAAAGTAGGAAGGAGGAGAAGACAAGGACGAATATAAGGACGAATAAGTACTTAATAAATGGCAATTAAGAGCTAATTAACCATCAATTATACACTACATGCACTTAATTTGCTGTTAATTAGTGAGGGATAGAGGTCTAAATGTCATTCATGTGAAAACTAGTGAGATAACCAAACAGATTACAGGGAATTTATCATATAGTTCAAGTTTGGGTTTTGAAAGTTCTGGATTCCAGCTTTATATAAACGCAGCTTGAGGATAAACACAAAGACACTGAGTTCAAAGAGTCTGGGGCAGATTGTGATCATTTAACAAAAGTTTGTGGCAAAGTGAAAAGCATGCCTCGCTGACAACGACAGCAAAACCATCTGCCGTGTTCCAGGCGTAGGTGAAGTTCTGAGGCTGTAGAGCGGCGGCGCGGCCTCACGTTGTTTACTCACAGCGTGTCTCCATGGCTCCACGCCAGCACTAATTAATGAAGTTAAATTAGCAGCTAAACTATGTAAATGAGCGGCTGGATTAAGGTGATGTCGGCTGCCACTGCCCAAATCCATTACGGCGTCCCGGAGGAGCCATTAGAGTGAGAGGGGGCCGTGAGTCAGCCGCTGATTAAAGATATGGAAATGTCTGTTATTAAGACATGAAACTAGTCTGCTATCTGCCAATCACACGCTAATCCGCATTATCCGCCGAGCTGAGTCTGCTGCTGTATTCACATCTATCAGAAGAAAACTAAATGCTGTGCACTCAACAAGAAACTATTTTCACATCAAGTCTAAAAAAATTCGACATTATACAGTGAAATGTGTTTATTGCAATAACAGACATAATATTAATATAGCGGGACGGTGGTGCAGTGTTTAGCCTTTGTGCTTCACAGCTATAAGGCCCCTGGGTGCAAGACAAAAAGACTGGGAACTACATTTATCCCAACAGCCCAACAGCTGTGAAGCACCTTAACCCTCTCAGGGCCTAATTCAATTTCAATGACAGGAAAAATCTGATATTTGGGGCAAATTTTCATATAGTAAGTAGTAAATATGGGGCAGTAATATACAATCCTGACTTTTTTGAGAGAGAGAAAGAGAGACAGACTTTCTCAGGCAATGCATTCTGGGATAATGCAACATTGGCACGTTGTGGTAAATAGATCATACCCGGGGGAAAACCCAGGAAATATAATCTTCTAATTGGCATGTACTGTATCTATATATTTTCATCTTTATTGTATGCAGTTTTGGTTTCAATTTGTTAGAGGTTGGTATTGAGACTGACCTGAAATGGATGCCTATAAAATCTGTATGAAAATCCGGTGAAACCAAGGAGACAGCTGCGCCCCCTGGTGAGCAGGAGGACAACTGTGTGTTGCTAAAGCTCAAGTCCAGCAGCGGTACTGAGGAAAAAAGGGTCAAAATTATGGTAGTGGCAAAAAAGTTGTTGCAAATCTGCAACGCCTTCCTGGAGAGCACAGGATATAGCACTTTATACTAACTATTGCACTTCACAGCAATGAAACTAGCTTCAATGTTGTGATTTTACTGTGTCTGCCTAATTTTAGACGATTTCTTGCTGCGGAGCCAATTTCCCCTGGTGCGATGATAAAGATAACTTTGAACTTTGAAGGTCCTCAAGACAGGGCCTCTTTGATTGGGGTTTGCTTGTTCTCCCTGTGTCTGAGTAGGTTTCCTCCAGGTGCTCCGGTTTCCCCTACCACTAAAAACATGTATATTATTTGACGGTTGAAAGAGTGTGTGTTTGTGAGTGCGACTGTGGGACCACAGATAGAAATGAGCTACAAATATCGTTTACTTTAATATGCACTGCCCTTAATAATATCAACATTCATATCTGAAGTGTTATTTGTATTAACATCTATAAACTAGGGCTGTCAACCGATTAAGATTTTTAATCGAGTTAATTTCAGCTTAAAAATTAATTAATCGTAATTAATCGCATTTCGAACTATCGGCAAAATGATGCCATATTTTTCTGTAAATGGCAAGGCAAGTTTATTTATATAGCACAATTCATACACAAGGAAACTCAAAGTGCTGAACAAAACAAGAAAGCATTAAAATCATAAATAATCACAGAACATTAAAAAGAAAGATAAAAATATAAAATCCCTCAGTTGTATGCACAGCTAAACAGAACCGTTTTTAACCTGGTTTTAAACATTGTCAGAGAGGAGGCCTGTCTCACATCTTCAGGAAGATTGTTCCAGATTTTAGCAGCATGAATCTGAAAAGCAGCCTCCCCATGTTTAGTTCTGACTCTGGGCACTAACAGGAGTCCAGTCCCTGTGCTCCTCAGAGTCCGGGCTGGTTCATATGGGACTAACATGTCACTAATATATTTTGGTGCGAGGCCATGGAGAGACTTGTACACAAGCAGAGGTGTTTTAAAGTCTATTCTCTGAGCCACAGGAAGCCAGTGCAGAGACCTGAGGACTGGTCTAATGTGGTCGTACTTCCTGGTTCTAGTCAGGACTCGAGCTGCTGCATTTTGAATGTACTGCAGCTGTTTTACAGCCTGTTTGGACAGACCTGTGAGCAGGCCATTGCAGTAGTCTAACCTACTGGAGACAAATGCATGGATAAGAATCTCCAAGTCTGCTTGGAGTATGTTTTGGATCCTGGCAATGTTTTTTAGATGGTAAAAAGCTGCTGATGTTACTGATTTGATGTGGCTATTAAAATTTAAGTCTGTGTCCAGTATTACCCCTAGATTTCTGACCTTGTTTGAAGGTTTTAGGGAGAGAGACTGTAGGTGACAGATGACGCTCTCTCTTTGTTTCAGGAGACCAAAGACAATAATTTCAGTTTTGTCTGCGTTTAGCTGAAGGAAGTTGTTTTGCATCCACTCACTGATCTGTTGGATACAGTGAAGGAGTGAGTCCACTGGTCCATGTTCTCCTGCAGTCAGTGAGACATAGATCTGTGTCGTCTGCATAGTTATGATAGGACACTTCGTTTCTGCGTATTAACTGACCTAACGGCAGCATGTAGAGATTGAACAGAAGAGGTCCCAGGATCGACCCCTGTGGGACTCCACAGGTCAGGGCCATATGATCTGAGACACAGTTTCCAATCTCCACAAAGTACTTCCTGTCTTCAAGGTAAGACCTAAACGAACTTAGGGCGGTGCCAGCGACGCCAACCCAGTCCTCTAGTCTCTGTAAGAGGACTGGTTGTTTGGAGGATCAAAATGGTTGTTTGAATGGAAAGATAAATGACAACATAGTGTACATATGTACAGTATTTGTTTATTATACAATAAATCCACATTAAATGGCATTAACATTATACACATTCTGTCTTTCTGTAGTAGACAGATTTTTTTCAGCTCGACATATTCCGCTTCAGCTAAAGCCTCCTCTTTTTTCTTTTTCTCTGTCTCATAAAGGCTGTAGAAAAACTAGGTACCCCAGCTTTAATTCAGCGAGTGTAGATTCGAAGCGGGAGGAGACACGGACACTTCTTAGCTCCATAGTGCAGCTTCAGAGGTGTATTACGCACAGGTTACGCAAAGCAGAGAATATTTCTGTGCGTGTATGGATGGTCTTTCACGTTACGGCGGCGCCGTTCACCGTGTTGTTATTAGCGGCCACGGAGGATGCAAACTCCCGTTCAGTTCATAGCAAACAACAGCAAGTGCGCCGCGATCACGCGCCTATTCTTTTTTTAACTTGAATTCCCAGAGACCTGCTCTGTCTCCATCACGCATGTGTCTGCGGCATTCTGAGTGTTATTATTGGATGTATGGGCGTGAAAAGCGTTAATTTTTTTAAACACGATTCACAAAAACAATATTATTAACGTGCGTTAACGCAATAATTTTGACAGCCCTGACATTGGTCATCCTTCTGTCTGTGTCTTCGGCAGTGACGCTAAATGTGGGAAGATCCAGTGTCACAGCGCGGCCAAGAAGCCCAAAGGCACCAACGCCGTCTCCATCGACACCACCATCAGGACGGGGGGCATCGAGGTCAAGTGCAGGGGGACCTATGTGTACAGCACTCAGGACGGACAGGGCGACCTGCCAGACCCCGGCCTGGTGGTCACCGGCACCAAGTGTGGAGAGGGGAAGGTGGGTGTGCGAGAGCCGAGGATCAGTCCTACTATTGTGGTCATGTATTCAAAGTCAAGGAGGATTCAGATTATTCAAGTGGTGTTTTTTATTTATTTGATGTTTTTTCATGTATTTCTTTTATTTCATTTATCTTATTGAATTATTTATTTATTTGTTTTTTTGTTATCAATGTGTTTATTTTTTCATCTATTTCAATAGTGGACATGACAATACACAACCTATTACAATTACATTTCACAAGAAGAAGAAGAATGATGCAACCTCAACCACAATCCATCACAGACTCTGGAGTGGAGCAGTGAGGTTTCTTGCCCAAGGACACAAGGGCAAGCCCAAATCTCCTCAGACCCAAGAGAGTCTCTGAAAGCTTGAGTCCCGTCCTGCAGCTTTAGCTCGTAGGTTTTTTACTACGCCGTTTTCCAGAAGGTGATTAAACATTTCTCTCGCCGCCGCACAACTTTTGTTGACTCAGCGACACATACATTTGCACAGCCCTGCCCTGCTCCAGATGGTGCCCTTTAATTGTGTGATTCGTTTGTGCATTCATCCAGTCTTTTACAAACATGGTGCGGGCCGCTGGGGTCTGCAGGGTCTGGGGCTGAGGTCTGAGCCGTGGTAGAAGATCCAGGAGGAGAGAAAAGAAAATCCCTCCAAACAACAACCACAGTCTGCTCGACTCTCACAGAGGCTCAATCTCAGACACAGGAGACCGACCACAGCTTTATGAACGCAATGATAACGACAACACAGGGCATTCTACACTGCAAAAAGTGATGGAAAAACTGCTCAAATTTAGCTCTAATTTGAGCACATACTGACTGACTTAAAACAAGATTTGCCAATGGGACAAAGCAAAATTATCTTGTTTTAAAAATGAAGAAGAAATGTCTCCTTTGTAATGAGAAAATAAAGTAGCAGTCAGACTCAATTGCTTTGTGCCTTTGGAGAAACTTGTTTTTTGACAGTCAGAATGTACTCAAAATAAGATACAGTACATCTTGCTAAATTTGAGCAGTTTTGGACTTTCTTTTTTCATTTCTGATTGTACTCATATTAGTTTTTTTTTTTTTTTATCACTTGATTTGAGCAATTATTACGTCATATGTTATCACTTTTTGCAGTGTGGTTTACAAACTAGGCATGGCAGCTTTGACTCCTGCAGCGTTACCTTTGAACGACCACATCACACACACTTCTCTCCTGCTATTGCTACCATCAGTGCGTCTATTCTACTCCCTCTCCTTAACTTTGCATCACGTTTAGTTCATTTCCGTGATGTCTGTTGTCAGTGGAGGGCCGCGCATGATTAGAAACGCCTGCTTTGCGCTCCGTCTGCATTTACCACTGAGAAATGGGGCCGTCAACATGATGACTCCCAATTCATCACGCTACATGGCACACAATATTCTCCCTATTTATAATATATAACTCGCTCGGCACTATCCGGCCTCTTCAGCGCAGACGGCACAAAGGGACCCGAGCGATGGCGATGAGGTGCACAGAGGAGGCGATATTGAAAACAGAGATGGGCGGAGGAGAAGATGGGACCTGCGCTGTGCATGTGTATTTTCATATATATGGATTATTACGATACATTATTCACAAGGCTTTTTGCTTTCTCGCTGTGCATGCCTGTTTTTGCATTGGACTTTCAGGCAATAAAATGAGGATTTCTCTGCGTTGCTGCTCAGGGATGCAGTAGTGGGACTTTTTATGCTCTTCTCAGGCTTCTATTCTTTCATTCTGACCATGATAGTAATAATAATAATATTAATACATTGGTTTTCTATAGCTTTTGCTTTGTCCCGTTGTCAAATCTGTTCTAAGGCAGTCAGAATGGGCTCAAATTAATATACATTTAGACAAATTTGAGCAATTTTTGGACTTATTTTTCATCATTCATTGTTGCAGTGCTGTGTTTTTCAACCTGTGTCCGGTAAAACCTTAGTGTACCATGTTATGTGTAAGCCTTGGGAAATATCCAATATCACACATCCATCCATCCATCCATTTTCTTCCGTTTAATCCATTTCTGGGTAGGGGGGGTGGCAGTCAGAGCTCCACCCAGTACACAGAGCACCAGTGGGGTTAAGTGTCTTGCCCAAGGACACAACGACAGCCGTCATCAATGGGAGTTGTGAAGTAGGTCTTGTGGTGGGCTCGAACCCACAACCTTCAGGCTCTAGGGCCAATGCTCTATCAACTGAGCCACCGTCGCCTCAATATCATAAAATTGGTCAAAGTAAAGTGAAGATAAAATAATATGAGGAGATTAGAAAGACTTGTTTGATAAGAATGACTTTGCCTTTTTGCTTTCTGGCGTTGTGTCCTTAGGCAAGACACTTCATCCACATTAGAATGAGTCTGGTGGTTGGTTGGTGAATGGTTGGTGGTGGCGGGAGGGGCCGATGGCACATACTTGTTGCCTCTCTTCTGTCAGTGTGCCCCAGGGCAGCTGTGGCTACAACTGTAGTTAATCACCACCGGGTATGGAGTGAAAGAATGACATGTGAAGCATCTTTGAAGAGCTCTATATAAAACCAATGCATTTGTTTTATTACAGTGAGGGGAATAACAGTTGTAAAGTGCTTTGTGTGACCTCGGTCTGTGAATCCATCCAAGTTCCTCTCTCTCATTACTGTTTGGTTCTATCACTAACATTTGAACCACAAACATTTATGGTTCCATCACTATTTGTGTTTTACATCTGTCATCAGTTCTTTCAGTCAGAAAAAGATGTGCAAGAGATTACATGCTTTCTCATAATGATGCTGCATATCGTGGTCTGATTTGTTTTACCTCTACGAGACTATTTCTATTGGGACAAACAACATAAACTATTCAAGGAACCAAAAAGTTAGGTGCCCTTGCTTTAATTTCGCCTGGAGTCCTGATAATGAATATGGGGAGTGTTTCATTCGTTCCCTTGCTGCTTGTTTGTGATGCAGAAATAATGAGATTATAGGATTTTGAAATAGAGAAAATCATAACAATATTCTCTCATAACAGCCTCTCATAACTTGAGACAAGATTATAGAGCGCGGATAAATAAAACAACTTGAGCATAAAATATGAATATTAATAAATCATGTTATTAAAAGGATGAAGAAGATCCTTGATAGAAAAACAGTGATGTGTTTAAAAATGAATCATTCATTCTTCCCTCGTGAACTCTCAGTTTCTATGGGCCTAAGGCAGCTCCAGCCATCTGTGTGTGTGTGTGTGTGTGTGCACTTGTTTTCAACTCCTGGTGGGTTCCATAACCTGAGATTCCACTCACGTCATGGGGACTGGTTTTACGTGGTGGGGCCCGAACACCGGACCCCACTGGTCCAAGCTTAATAATCAATGGGTAATGCTTTTCTAACGGTCCTTATGCAGTCTCTGTAAAAATATGGAAAGGACCCCTGGAGGTTTACTTTCCTGAAAAAAGTGTGTTATGTGTCGGAACCCTGGTGGTGGGTTGCGGGATATCAAGGAGGGGCACACTGGGGCAATTTCAGTCCAGCAGGCTGGAGCCAATCATGGAGCAGCACAACAGAGGAAATCAGGTGTCAGGCTAGAAAAAGGTGCAAGTGTGTGGTTCATTAGGCTGCAAGAAATCATGGAGGAGCACACTGAAGCGCACGCTTACAAACCACTGGTAAGTGCTGACTACAAGTCATGACTTCAAATTGTTATATAGAATGATTACAAATTATTTGTTGTTTGTGCAGCTTAGTCAAGAGTCCCTAATTGATGAAGTCGACTCAGATTCTGACGATTTAACTGTCAAGAAGAAACCTGTAAAAAAGTATGGAAAAAGAAAAATCAAAAACACTTTTCTTCAAGACTCGGAAAGTGACGAACCAAAGGCAAATAAGATTGTTATCATGCAGCTGCAAAAGAAGAAAAATGGGGGGCGAGTATACAGCAAGAGACACTTCTGCCTCTACTGTTCAATGTCCTGCCACAAAATGTCCCGTCATTTGACTAGAAAACATGGAAATGAAAGTGACGTAGCCAGAGCATTGGCTCTACCTGTGAAATCTAAAGCACGTAAACTTCAGTTTGATTTGATCAGGAATAGTGGAAACCGTGAGCACAATTTTGAGGTTTTAAAGGCCGGCATTGGAACTTTAGTCCCAGCTAAACAGCCAAATTCCCCAGTTAAATCCAGTGAGTTTTTTGCACTGTATAGACTGTGGGGCATTGCTTAAGCGAAAGTCGCTGTGGAGGCATGTGGCCAGGTGCCGGCTTTCACAGAAAGATGCCCAGGCTAAACCAGGTAGAAGTAGGGTCCAGTCCCTCTGCTCCCTAGCCCAGCCTGTACCGGAGGGCATCAGCAAAAAGCTGTGGTCTTTAATTTCGGCAATGCATCAGGATGAGGTCACGGGTGTTGTCAAAGCAGAAAAGGGGATTCTGAGACTCGGAGAGCACCTGTACTTAAAACACGGGCATGATAAGACAAAGCATGATTACATTAGGCAGAAAATGAGAGAAGTCGGTAGGTTAATTAACGAAGCAAAAACCGCAGGGAAACTGAAAACAATTAAGGATTTCTTTATTCCTTCCAACTTTAACCATGTGATTGATGCAGTCAGGTCTGTGGCTGGATATGATGAGGAAACAAATCAATACAAGACTCCATCCTTGGCCCTCAAACTCGGCCATAGCCTCAGAAAGCTAGCAGATATTCTTGAATGTGACTCAAAAATGGAGCATTGTGTTGATGAACTATTTATTAAAAACCTCCAACGAAGCCGGCTGCTTTTTGAGAAGAGGTGGGACGTCTGTGTTTCTTCTGCTGCCCTACAGACCCTCCGGCAAGCCAAGTGGAACACTCCGGACCTGCTCCCTCTGACTGAGGACGTTAGAGCCATGCATGCACATATTGAGGTATGTCGACCTGAATATGTGCAAACCCTAATAAGTGAGCCAACGTCTAAGCATTGGTCTAAACTGGCAGTTTTGACTCTTTGTGAGGTCATCATTTTCAATCGAAGAAGGGAAGGTGAGGTTTCAAAGATGCCACTGACAGCCAAGACTGGGATCCATTCTGACATTGCTCTGGGACTGTCCCAACTTGAGAAAAAGCTGTGTCAGCATTTTCAACGCATTGAAATTAAAGGGAAAAGAAGTCGGAAAGTGCCGGTTCTTTTGACTCCTGAAATGATTGCTTCGATGGAGGTGCTGGTGGAGAACAGAAGGGCCTGTTCCATCTCTGACCATAACCCATACTTCTTTTCCCGCCCGGGCGCAGACACCCACATCAGGGGATCAGACTCCCTACGCCAGGTAGCCAAAGAATGTGGTGCGGTGCATCCAGAGATGCTATCCTCAACCAAACTTAGAAAGCACATAGCTACTATGTCTACAGTTCTCAATATGAAAGAGAATGAGATGGACATACTTGCCAACTTCCTCGGCCATGACATTCGCATCCACAGGCAATATTACAGACTACCAGAGGGGACACTGGAGCTGGCCAAAATCAGCAAAGTGTTGATGGCCTTGGAGCAGGGAAGAGTGACGGAATTCGAAGGAAAGAGCCTCGACCAGATACAAATTGAGCCTGAAGGTAATTCTTGATATTATTAAAATATGTATGATTTTTTTCCCCTAAAGGCCACTTGTATTTTTATTTTCTGTGCGACAGGGAGAGCAGTAGAGATCCTCTCACAAACGGACGGGCTAAAAGAAACTTCAAGCGGAGAACCTTCAACCATTCATCCAGATGCACCCCATGGTAGTGGCAGTGCCCCTTCTGGTAAGTGTACCAGGTGGGGGATTACAGCCAGGCTGCTTGGTCCTAACCCTGGGAGTGTATATTGCTAATATATTTTTATTTCTCTCCCTAGAACGTGTAAGAAAGCCATGGTCTGCATCTGAGGTGAAGGCTGTGGAGAAGACCATGACACCTTTCATACAGACTGGAAAGGTCCCTGGGAAGTCTCACTGCCTGGCCTGCATTAATGCCTCACCAGATGACCTTAGACATCGGACATGGAGTGGCATTAAATTCTATGTCAAAAATAGAATCACTGCAATTCGAAAACAAAATCTAAAATAAAATTCCTTTAAAATAGTTGTTTGGTTTCTATTGACTGTTTTTGTATTACTTAAAGTCTTGGTAAAAAAAGATTATGTCTATGGGTCCCATTCTGAACGGCCCTGTCAAAGGGACCCACCAGGTAACAAAAACGTGTATGTGTGTGTGTGTGTGTGTGAGTGTGAAATGGTTGGTGGATGTCTGAGGGTACTGATGGCAAATAACTGTTGCTTCTCTTCTGTCATTGTGCCCCAGGCAGCTGTGGCTACAGAAGTAGTT